TGTTAAAAATAAACTAGTGAACAATAGAAGAATTTCCGTCCTTTTGGTTTCTTTCAGTTATTTTTCCTTCGAAAATGTTGATAATAAAATCATTGTCCGATTAACTTTATTTTTCTTGATTGAGTCACCTTCATCAGCTGTCTTTTTCTCGTACTTCTTCTAGCACTTGCTCATTTCTTTTCTTGTCTATACATTTTGTCTTTGTCATTTTTCTCCATATCCATAACTATAATGCTTCTGTCCTTCTTGTTAATTTTCCATGTTTCTCTATCATATGAAAGCACACTCCAGACATATGTTTTAACGAATCATTTACGTATGCCAATGCTCAGATGTTTATTGGTGAGAAACTGATACTTGTTTTGGAATGCTTGCTTTGCCAATGCTATTCTTCTTCTGATGTCTGAAGTTGATTTGTTATTGGAAACTATGATATTTCCAAGGTAGCAAAATTCTAGGACTTGTAATCTTAGATTGTTTATTTGTATATTAAGGTTTATATCTGAGTGCATTTTAATTATAAGCATTGTTTTCGTTTTCATGGAATTTATTTTCATTTTAAATTTATCAAGTGCATTTGATAGAATTTTTAGCATATTATTCATGTCATATTCAGAAAATGTTAAGATAACAATGTGTAGCGTTATGCTACAGCTTTATTGCCGTTATTCAGTTGCAAGATAGTCGTTGGACAGCGCTGTTTGCTAACTTTTATTCAAAAAAATATAATATAATGTACTTTTTATTTAATAAGATAGATAGTAATGCTTGTAAACCTTTTTTACATATCAGTCCAAACGGGATCTCGCAATTTAAATAAGATATAAAAATGCACATTTATTGATTACAAAATATTGAAAAATAAAACGATCAGTAAACGAATAATCTACATTATCCAAGTGGTGGCAGGCGGTATAAGGTATGCCCTCATTTATTAATTTTCTCTATCAAGTTCAAAATTAAGCAAACCATTGCGATTTTTATAGCCAACTAGATAAATTTTGCGTATACTCCGCTCCGCAGAGTAAGTGTCTTGTTAGTTCATTCCTAAAAATTTAATCTTATAATTTATAGAATTTTCAACAGTGCTCGTAACTACATTGATTTACCGTTAATAACCGAGATCAAAATTTTATATATTAAAATTCTTTTCTAAAAAAATTAGATAATCTTCAACAGTGATCATTACTTTCGTTATCAACAGTAAAAACTAGCTTCTCTTAAAATCCTTTTAATCCTTTGCAACGCTGGTAGTAACAAAGCGTTACCAACCGTGATCCAAAGAGTTATACTTCTCGCTTTACTTAAATTAATTAGTTCTTAAAGTAAGACTGATATAATAGGTAATTATTTAGTACAGAAATATTTGTTTCTTTTAACATAAACAAAAATAAGTTGAATATTTGAGCAAAATTGTGTTGTGATTTCGTATTTAAGTTAAGTAATATAAACTCAAAAGTGTACAAACGTAGAATCATTTCAAATGTCATCCGCAAAGCGAAAACGGTGTAGATGTTGATCATCTATTTTCACTCCATTGAACTTGGTTTTCATTATATCTAAGATCATTTCAATAAAAAGATTGTATTGAATGGGCGACAAGGGGCATCCTTGTCTCACTCCTCTCCTTGTTATTGCTTCTTTTACCAAACCATTTACATTTATTTCTGTTGTTTGATCTTTATATAAGTTTAAGATGAGCCGTCTATCTATCCAATCAATTCCTTTTTTCTCTTAATATCTTAAATAAGATTTTACAATCCACTTTATCGAAAGTCTTCTCTAGATCTATGAATGTTGCTATAGTATTTTTATTCAGTGCTAATATCGCTTCTCTTGTTGCTCGCCCTTTCCTAAATCCAAACTGATCTTCCGATATATTTTGATCTATGTTCTCTCTCAATGTGTTTTTGATATTGTTTAGAAGTATTTTAAAGTGTGAAAAAGTAGCGCTATAGTTTTATAGTTTCCACATTCTGTTGCATTACTTTTCTTCGGAACTGTTATAGTTCTACTTTTGACAAAATCCAGTGGTAGACTTCCACTATTATAGCTATCTTTAATGATTTTAAACAATTGATATTTTGTCTTTTCTCCTATATTTTTCAGTAGTTCAACCGGAATATCGTCAATTTCTGTTGCTTTTTTGTCACTTAGTTCTCCTAAAGACTTTTCGAATTCACTTATCAGTATTTCGAGTCCTTTTCTATGTTCATTTACATCTATTTCATTTTCTCTCCTCTTTCCCTTCATATAATTCTTCCCTATACATTTTCACCTCTCTACTATCTTTTCATTTTCAAACAGAATTTTGCTATGTTTATCTTTAACTATGTTTTTGGATGTCTTGGGTTTATATTGCAGTTTTTTAGTTTTATTATAGGCTTTCCCTGTATTATTGCCTGGTAGATCACGTTCTATTTTTTATATATTTAATTTAGCCAATATTATTTTGCTAGACGGCACTTTGCTGTCACTTCATTTTTCATCCGTTTATATAAATTGTAATCTCTGTTCCTTTTTTCAATTAATTCAAGAATTTGTTCTATTTTATTTTTACCAATTATTTTATCCGCAACTGTAATTATGTCCAATTTTATACTATACCAGATTTTTTCTCCAATTTCAGGTTCATCTAAATTTCTTTGAATTCTTCTGTTATATTTTGATATTTTAGTTTTCCAATGCATCATTTGTTTTTTTTTGTTACTTTAGTTCTTTTCTTAAATTTAATGTTCCGTATACCCATAGTCAATTTAAACTATGTACTCCCCTGAGGGATTATGATGATTGTAATTCATTATCTATGGAAAAATTAAAAGAAGAATAATTTACTCAAATAGGTATTTCTATTTTTATATAGTCTAATGATATTTCAAAATGGCCTACTTGAAATCTCGCACACCCAAAAAAAAAAAACGACATGACGCTCTTACTTTTAATGTTGATAAGAACTATTAAAGGTAAGCGAAATTTTTATTATTTAAATTTGAGTTTATCCAGTAAAATTTAATTGTGAGAAAACGATAGTTCTTTGGTTACTTTTAAAATAATTGTTGGTAATTTTTACTCTTGCCATTAAGTATGAAAAAAAAAAATCTATTTTATAAAGTCAAATGTTTCATTATTGTACATCAACATGATATTGTTAGTAATAATTTATATTACTTTAACTGATATCAAATATATTTTTAACTAATACTGTTTACAGTAATTTAAAAATAGTTTCTCTTAATCAAGATCCCATAAATATGAATAATTACCAGTGGCGGCTCGTGATTTAGACGACGGGACGATCGCACCCCCTACTAAATTTAATTGTATACTCTTAATTCTACTTTTTTATTAGAAATACAAATTTTTTAATAGTAAAATAGTTATTATAATAGTTATAATATATTTCTCGTGTGAAAACATATGTTGTTTCCTCAGTATATGTGGGTACGAATGCACACAAAAGCAATGTTTGGACGATCGGCACACAATGATCTGAAAGCGAATTTTGGACGCTCATAAATCCCATTTTAAATGTACTTATAATATAAAATAATTATGAAAACTCAATTCTAGTATATTCATTAGATAAAATATAAAATTTCAAGGTCACGGTTGTTATTTATAGCCATTTGAAGTTCAAATATTTAAAAGTCCATATGAAAGTTGAAATTTTACGGAATAATTTAAAAAGTTTACACAGATTATCATTATGATACTATAATTTGATATCATACATTTTTTTTTAGAGTCGATGTGAAGCTAAGAAGCTATTAATTTTACTATGGGTTTTTTTTATCTGTCGCCACTTTTTTCAGCTCTCACCGGAACGATTTCTTTCAACGATACGTTAAAAGATCACAAATTGTATCTAGTCAAAGACATTACCCTAAAAATTAAAAAAATTTCCCTCGTTCGTCATAAATGGGGGAAATATCCAAAAAAATTACGATTTTTAAAATCGGTAAATTACGACTTCTTTTAAACTTTTTGATGATGATATCACTGAACTAAAAAGGTATTGGGTTTGTGATACTGTGTTTTTTTTTATATCTGTCCATAAAAATTTTTAGCTCTCACTGGACCAATTTTTTATTGGTATTTATTCATTTTTTACAAATTAGTAATTAACTCAAAAATTAGATGATAGAAAAAATCTAATTGCAGATTTGGAATCGGCTCAAAAATGAGTTTAAAAAAGTTTATTATATTAGAAATAAATATATTCACAAGTAACTAACAATTTTTATTATATACGTTTACCATAAAATTAGTAACTACCTTCTAATTTTTTTTAAATTCTCCGTAAAAATTACAATACTGAAATATTAAATATCAATTTCATACTCTACTAAGTATAGTATATTAAGTACTATACTATATTATATTTTAATTATTATAATAATTTTTTTAATTTTATGCGACATACTTTTTTTTTAAATCGGACCATTTCTTTTTATACTCCCCCTATATAAAGAGAAATGGTTCAAAACTTAAAAATATATATAAAAAGTAGAACATTTTTAACTTAATTTTTGAAAAATTCTGTAAATACTAACACTCTTATATATATCTTAAATTAAAGCTTATGTAATATACTTTAATATCAAAAAAAAAAAAATGTCGGACTTTATTTTTGTTTTCATGGTGAAAACGGACATCAAAGTTAATAAAAAAATACGGTTTTTGTAAAAATTTACAATATTAAATATCTTTTTATATTAAATTACTATAATAAATATTTATTCATTTATTACACTTATAAATCATAAAACTTGTAATTAGCATATAATTAGGAAATAGAAGATCATGTTGCTTTTGGAATAATCCATCAAATTTTTTAAATTAAACACTATCTACAGATTTGCATCGAAGCGTTTTTTATGATAGTGATTTTAATCACCATCAGTTTAAATCTATACTGGACCCAAATATACCACGTCCCTACCATGTAAGGTTTTTTTTAAATAAATTTACTTTAAATTATGATTGTTATTAATAATTAATACTGACAAAATAATATTTTATTAATAAGTACAATTTTATTAAAAATAACAATTTTCAATCTACAGATCAATTAAATCAAATATATTATAAGTACATGCCATTAATCAAAAAATCCGCGTCATGTGCATAGGAATGTTTAATACCTTTCCTGGATCGGTTTCTGAGAAGTCGGAGACGACAAGTAACAACAATTATCATAATACTGGTAGCTGTAATACCTGGAATAACATTAATTACACATAAAAAATTATTGGCTTTTTCTTCAACATACCAAATTAATTTTACTATAGCATTACCAAGTATTAAAGAAATAAAAGCTCCATTGGGTATTATAGCATAACCATCATCATTGCTTTTAAAGTAAGTTTCATGTATATTGAAATTTGTTTTTAAAGATTCTATTTTTTCCTGTGAATTTGAAACTGTATAACAAATTAAAATTTGGGTAAAAATAAATAGTATTATTTATTTATAATATGATAATATAATATGGCACATGTAGACATGCTACAGATGCTAATAAGAGGAGCAAAAGAAACAATTTTAATTTAAATTAAAATTATTTTCTAAAATAACTTTCACTTTAACAGAAATAGTGAAATGCATCTCCAAAATGTTTTTTGGATCCATGTATGGTGTTCCCCTTAGCAGTATTTCGACCTATTCAGAAAGGCAATTATCAAGGGCTTAAAATTTTAGGGGACCATCTTGATAATATCGAGATATATTATTGACATACGAAAATTTGTTTCGATTAATAAAAGTGTTATAGTTAATAATTTAAGTGTTACAGTGGCGTATTTACAAGACCCCTCTCAATAGAAATAAAATTGTCAGAGGGGTGATAGATTTTATTATATATCGGTGAACTAAACCAATTGAAATTGATGGTATATATATTTTTGACTATCAAATGTAATTTAAGTTAAAAACCCAATGAACTAATTAATTATTTATTATTATTTATCAATTAATGAGTTTTTGAGTTATTATAGATTTGCCGTATACAGAGTGTTTATAAAGTAAGGAAACAGGTTAATTGTTATAAACAATGAGAATAATAGAAACCCCTTTCCTTACTTCTGAACAACCTGTACAGCAACTGAATATACTAATTATTGCCTAATTTTGACAATGTATGCAAAATGCAAATTTATTTTTATTTATCAAAATTAAATACTAACATTTTATTTTTAAAAGTAATCTCTTAAGTTTAACATTTATATATTAGTTATATATTTTAATAAGAAAAACTAAAATTTATCTAAAAAATATATCTTCATTATTTACCCTAAGGCAGAACTTAATACTTTCATTTGACATGTTCATCCATGACCATGAAAAAGGTTCATTTTATATCAATAATTTGTATTATAAAAGAAAGTGCTATATTATTAATACGAGACCCATTTGTCGGTGGTCGTAGTCCCGTCTATGTATACACCTGTATCGTACAATAGGAGGGTTCAATTAGAAATACAGACAGTTTAAATTAGTTAACCGGTTGCTTAATTTCGACTACTTTAAATAAATATTTTAATATTTTAGAATAATATTTTTCGAAGAGTGGGCTTAGCCCCCTAGAACCCCCCAAATGGCGTCTTTGATTTGATGTAAAACTAATATGAATGTTTACTGTAAGTTTATGATTTCAATATAATTAACAGTAATATGATAAATGCATAAAATCAGGACTTCAAAAACATCTCACCTATTTTTGATATCTTAGTAGTTGAACCATTGAAAAAAGAATTTGAACTCGCCGTAGATTTTTCTGTCACTTTATATTTCTTTTCATTGGTTTGATCCTAATAGAAATAATTTTTTTTTATAAAACAACATATAATATTAAAAAGATAAGGATGACCTCACATAGTAGTAGACCAGTATACATTGATTTCTAACAGTGATTAAAAAAACGATCACAAAATATTTCCATGTGAATGTACTTTAAGAAAGCTTAGTAAAAGAGAGGAATTTTTTTTTTACTAGAATAATAATCACGTCCTTATAGTATAGTGCCAACACTATAAACACTACTTATGAAAAAGATTACATAAAAAATATTTAATAACATAAAAACTAGCAAATTTTACCCAAAGTTGAAAAGAAAAAAGGATTTTTTTTACAAGCAATTTTTTATAGTAAATTATTCATCGAAATGTTTTTAAAAATCCTTTAATTTTTTAATAATAACGAAGTGACTATGGGAACAAGATGACAATTGCCCCTGAGAAAAATTTTGTTTTTATGACATTTTCTCAAAAAGTACTTTAGGTATACTGGGAATTCATTTATCGTTTACCATTTAATATATAGAAAAATAAAAATAGTGTAAAGAAATTTTTTTGGTTTCTTTTAGTAACACATTTTTTTAAATTTATCAATCATATAGTATTTTTCATATTTATTTCTTATAGCCTATAAGGATGTCAATTTATTTTTTCAAATAAAAACATGCATAATTAACTACATTATTTATTAATTAAGCTATATAGCTATATATATAGCTTCAATATTATTTGGTAACAGTAACGAACATGATGTTCTCTTAATTAAAATATTCCAAATATTAAGTAGTTACCCATTCGGATCTTTGTATAAGGACTACTAGAGAAAAAAAAATGGTTAAAGGAGATAGAAGAATAGCAACCTAGAATTTGCAAACCCAACTACAATGTGGTAGGACACATCTAGGAATAATGATAAATGTGTACAGAATAAACATACTGAGTTTTGTTGGCTACATAATGATAACAGCAGAGAATGAAAAGAATCTAAAAAAGATTTTAGGAACTATAAAATAGGCGATGGAAAAGGATTTAAATATGAAAATTAACACAAAGAAGATGAAAGCATGTAATTGTTCAAGCCGGGTAATGTGTTCACGTGTCAGCTGGCTCTGAGGCGAACGAATAGCAGGATGGATTGTGTCAATTGTTTTTGTATATTTGAATAGTTGTTTATACGAAGCCCAGCATAAGTACGCCTTCGCCCATAAGAATTTCTGTTGATTAATTATTATAGTTTGATATCAGTCTCAGTCGAATATTGGCTATGATTTGATTAATTTTGTTGTTCTTTAATAATATTTTGAAGAATGATTATCATCAGATCACCCCACTACATTTGACACAGAGGCTATGCAGATGATTAAGTCATATTTTCAATAAATGAAAACCTCCATGTTACCTCTACAAACTTGCAAGATCATCTAAACCGTATGTTTGAATGGTATAATAAATAGTATATTAAACTTTAACAGTAAAAATCGTTTCACACAACTTTTACTTTTACTTATAGGATTAATTTTCGAATTTTCTGCCAACAAATATGACAATTACAATAAAATTAATTATAATATAAACAATAAAATAACTAACCATATAAAAAGACTCTAACTAGTTTCATTATAAATAATTTTTTTACAGTAAAAATATAAAATTTATATTTTTAATTGTTAACGGAAAATTGTCATATTTATTAAAATATATTTATATAATACTAAGCAAACACATATATTTTTCAACCTGTTCATTGTACAATAAGTTATATTGATAATTTTTTTATATACATAACATATAATAATAAAGTTATAACATAATATTTTTTATGTATTACTTCCCAGTTGGAAATTTAGAATAAAATGGTAACTTACAATTGAATTAATGGGAATATTATTACTCTGCTCCAATTTTGTCTTCTGTTCTTCATAGTAATAATCTGGATTATTTTGAAATGTATTTTTTCTCCCTAAAAATTAAAATTTTTAATTTATCAAACAAATATTTATTAGAAAATGTTTCTATTTGAATAAAAATAGTTATTACCCATATTAAAATTATGAAATTCATGATTTACACTGTTCATTTGATTAAAGTTGGTATCCGGATTAGATATCATCTCAGAATTGTAAACTTTATTAGGTACACTGAAATAAAGAATGTTTTGGCTTTAATTTAGACTGTTTTGATTATATAATGTTATAAATTATAAATGAATTAAAAAAATGTTTACTTAGGATATCTTTTTTTTAAATTTAACAATTTTTATTGCTGTTATGAATATAATGAATATCAATTATTTATGAAATTTACAATAAATTTAATTATTAGATTAATGATTAAACTTGTTTTATAAACTGTTTGTTTAAAATACTCTAATGAAATAGGGTTCTAAACAGTGTTTGGAAAGAATGTTTTTCACGATCTCGCATTCATTTGTAGTGAACACCACACAATGTTATTGGTTTTTCAAATAGAGCATAAGTGTTCACCTATATTTTTTATAAATTTGAAATATTTCAAGAGTATTTAAGCAATTAACAATACTATGAATTTTAAAGCTCACATAAATTGATATAATGAAAATGAAAAAAAAATCTAATTAGCTAATAAAAATAAATTTGTAATTTGATAAGATAGTGTAAAAACTAAAGGATCTTGCTTGGTTTTGATTTAATAACTAAAAATTCCATAAATATGAGGATGGGTAGAACAACAATCACAGAATTAGTACATTGTTTACTTGCTATGACTTATAAAACTAAGTAGTGTAGGTTTTTTTTTAGTAATATTGCCCTTTGCTTGAACAAAACCTCAAGTAGACCATAATCTGAGTTGACCATGTCAATGGATAATTAAAAAACATAAGAAGAGGGAATAAATTAAAATTATCAATTTATAGAGATGCAAAAAAATCATTTTTTCTAATAAAGAACTCTACTAATAAAGAAGATTTTAATTTTTTCTGTAATTAAAACGGTTCAATTTACAACTTATAATAAAATTATTTAATCTTAGAAAATTATTTGATATTGTTCAATAAACAAAAAATCCTATTTTACATGTTAGAATAAATATTTTTTGTAATTTATCCCATTTTACACCATGTAATTTTAGGTTTTATAATCATAATAGACATATCTTTTTTAAACTATAGATATTTGACGTTTTGAAGATAAATTGACTTATCTACCATTTTAACACACAACCATAAATTATAAATACAATAATTGTATATAATTATAAGTAATTACTAAAATTATTTAGTAAATGTTTCAAATACTGATTCTTAAGTTATAATTGTCATCAATAATAGATATCTAACTTACTTGCTAGGAGGCATATTACTCTGTGGTCGATTATAATCAGATATAACTCCTCCATTAATATGAGAAAATATTCTACTGTTACCTGAAATGAAGATAATATTACAAATTTAAAATTTTTTAATTTTAAATAATGAAATTACTTTAAAATTTGAGAAAATAAAAAAAAGGCCTTCTCTCTTTATAAAGACTAACTAAAATAAAGTATAAGATTCCATTAATAAATTAAAATAATTCAATTTTTGTAGCTTGACAAATTAATCCATAACATTTTTAATAAATTAAGTTAAAAAATAATAACTTAACTTGTTCAATTAAAGCAAGTATCAAAATTTCTATATTTAAATATCACAGGAATAGTGGGAAAATTTTTGGGAAGCTAAATGTAATTTTCCCCTTTATAATTTGTTTTTAATATAAGAAAACAAATATTTTTGGAAATAATTTTTATAAAAAAAAGTTTTTATCTTATCTAGAATTTTATTTATAAAATGAGGTAATCAACAAAAAATGCCAAAAATATACATAAATTAATTAGTCCTTTAATGAACAAAAGAGAAATTAAATTAACATAAAATCTGAATACTTCTGTTAACTTAAAAAGTTTAATGTATATTAACTTATTAACTTGTTTATATTTGCCTTGGTTTACTAATTAACTAATAAAATTGTTTTAATAAAAATAATAAAAATTAACAATAATAATAAATTTAATAAATATAAAAATATTTGTGTACTCATTAAAATTTTTGGATATTTAAATGTTCAAATTAAAAACTTGATTTAGAAGTTCAAATCTATACTTAGATTTGACCTTCTCTAATAAGTAAAATCTTTAACTGCTCTAGTTCAAATAAAAAATTAGTAAAAATAATTTATTGTTTATACCATAGTTTTGGTTTGCTGATTCTTGACTTGACCATTTTAAGCCCTCTCCTTCTCTTCCGTATTGTGATGGAATAAAGTTGGTACTATAGGCTGTTTGATCCTTTCCATTATTATAATTAACAATATTCGAACCTTTATATAAGAATATTGGCTTTTAATATAAGAATTATATATAATAAGTCAAATATAAAAATTATATATTATAGGAATTTTTTTTTTTTTTTGTATATTAAAAAAAGTTAAAAAAACTCTTAATTTAATATAAATAAATTATAATTACAATAAAAATAATTAAATCACACACGATAAAAAATATTTAGATATTTAAAAAGTTTTTCATAACAATGATGTATTTTAACATCAGATAATATACAACAAACATAAACTTAAAAATAAATGTGTTTATTATAATAAAAAGAAACCATTTTTATAAAGGAAAATAAATTACATTGATTAGAAAGGTATTTTAACATGATTTTAAAATAAACAATTTAACAATGCTGCTTTCAAATCTGTAATTGGAACAATTTCAACACTACTTTTATTTTTAATAATTAATACTCGAGAAAAATGCAATGTTCTAGTAGCAATGAAGCTCTATGTGTAATAATTGTAAAATAATAATTGATATATAATTGTAAAATTTTATATTTTTTCTAATAGCGAAAAGACGTTGACAATAATTATTTTGAAAAAACATACAACACATAAAAAATGAACAAAATAGTTATTTATTAATCTCTCCTAAAATAATTATAATTTTGAATTTTTTTTTTTAGTTAGTTTAGTATTATTTATTTGTTGATTTTCTTGTGATTAAATATTTTTTTAACTGTAATATATATATTTAACTAGTTGATATAATAGAAAATGATCCAACTTATGATCATATTAATCTATTAGTTCTATATTTATTTATTTTTTAAATGTAACCTTATGTTAGCCTAGTGCTGAAACTAGTAATTGCCGTTATTAATTATTATATTGTAGGTACTTGTAAATTTTATTTAAAATTTTACAATATACATTTTATTTATAATAATTGAGTATTAAACTAAACTATATATATTTAAAGTAACTTAACTTTTGAATTTTTTATCACATTTAAGTCCAGTATTCAGTACAGATACTAAATTTTATTTTATTATAAAATGAAATCTTTGGTTTCAATTCTTACCATAAAGTGGTTGTTGATTTCTCCATTGGTTTTGCTGTTGTAAATTCATAGGTGAATTTAGTAGGTGGGCAGATGTTTCAACTGGTTTATTTGGAAATGATTGGACATAATTGTTATTTGATATAGCATAATTTGTTTCTTTTGGAACCATTTGTTTACCTAAAATATATTCTTTTCAATTTCAAAAATATATTCATATATTATATAAGGTTAAAAATACTTTTGTAATTTTAACTTGTTTTACTTAGTATTAAAATGTTCCGATTTTCATATTTGGTTAAACCCAAACTAGACCTCTATAATATCAGTGGCTCAGGAAGCACAATTTCTTCAGCTGATAATTTTAGGGTTGATTTTTCAGACAAAATTACCTTTTATATTAATGTGAAGCTAAGAAGCTATTAATTTTATTAATAATTAAGGAAACGGGTTTCTATTGTTCTCATTGTATGTAACAACTGACCTGTTTCCTTACTTACTGAATACCCCTTAATATCTTTACCATATATCTATTTTTGATATGGGATCTGTTTTATCACCCATATACATAACATTGAAAACAACAATACTTTAAAAAAATAGGACTTCACTATAACTTACTAGTGGTTGGACATGCCAGTTCAATAGCTTCATCACTACCATCACTACACTGAGGAATTCCATCACAAGCATTATATATTGCAATACATTCTCCAGAATTTTTACATTCAAATTGATATCTACTGCAATGAGGCCCTAGATATTATCAAATATTTTATAAAAAATTTAATAAGAAAACATAGAATGAAAATAATAATGTACAACATTAAACACTTTTTGTATAGAGACTAATAAAGGAAATAAAATGAAAAATAACTCATTTAAACATGTTTCCACTACTTTTTATAGAATTTGCCATTAAAAGCTAATGCATACAGAAGATGTATAATCATGTAAATTATTAATTTTTATTTAGCTATAAAATAAATAATTAATTATATATATTAATAAAGTAAAAAATTCATACTTCTAATATGGCTTTTATTTTTATTTGAAGAAAATTTATTTTAATGTGAGTTTATAATATTTTTGAAATACTATACTTCCTTATAAATAGATATTTACTTTGAGAATGCTTATCCAATGGTATAGTCATTTCTGTTTCTTTATTTAAGGGTAGCACAACTGGTAATGTTGTTGATGAAAGAATGATAGGTTTTCTATAGTTAAAAATATTATATTTGCAATAATTAAAAAGAAAGGATCTTTAAAATATTAAAACATAATTCATAATTTGTTTACTTTAATTGGGTAAGTTCATGTTCATGTTCATTTTGAGTGAGTTTTATTTGATTTTCTAATTCAGTTGCAGGTCTAAATGCCATGACTGCGCTACTGTAGTTGGTGTGAGTAGTGAACTTACATTTGAAATCATCTGATAAACCACATTCAAAAAGGTAGCATGTTCCTGGTGACTAAACANAATCATCTGATAAACCACATTCAAAAAGGTAGCATGTTCCTGGTGACTAAACATTATTTTTTTTAATTTTATGGTTTTTTTTTAAAAAACTTTTTCATTTTTAAGATTATTTATAATTATAGTTTCAAAAAAATACATTTAATTTTTAAAAATGGACTAACATTTCTAGTTAAAATTTTATTTAAATTAATTTATAAATTATATAATAAGCTTTACTTTTTGTTCGAATACAAAAACATCGCATTTTACTGTTCTACAGCATAATTCTAAACATTCAAGTTGATTATGCTGTTCAATGGCATCAATGAACTTTGCACCCAGCTTTAAAGAGTCTTTTGTCCTTATAATTTTATCGTTATGTACATCAAACCTATCTGCACAATTAGCACCCACAATTTTTGTTGTCGCGGTTAGATGTACTAAAATTAATATTAAGTACACCGTCGATCTTTTTTTAAAAATAAATTCCATTTGAAGCATTTGAACACAATTATGGCACTAGATGCTCTCAGTCATAGTAGAATGAATTCATTTTACTATGTTCTCAGTTGCAACTTGACTTTCAAAATCGATATGTTATCCATAGTAATCATGATTCGGCTGCGCTCTTGTGGTATACCCATTGTTAGTTGTAAAACTTAGATTCACATAATTTTTAAACCATATTAAATTTAAATCCGCCTTACTTAAAACATTAAACGTCTACTTAAATTTCATAAATGAATATTTCCTTTTACGTTATGTAAACGTCTGAGAAAATTGACACACACACAACTATAATTTTATCTTTTTATCTAAAGTTTTGGATTATAAACAAAACCCCATTTATGAAAAATGACACACAGTGGCACGAGGGTTTTGTATTAGGATGATATGCATAAGACATCTTTTTATTACCCCTCCTCTGATCAATGATAGCTTTATATTTTATAATGCTGAAGAACCAAAACATAACAAGTTCTTTAAAAAAATTCGTTTGCTTTTATGAAGTGAATACATAATCCCAATTTTTAACGATGCACAAAGAATTATAAATATATTAATAATTATGAGAGATGAACTATATTGTTTACAAAAATTATTTGTGAAAAGTAACCATACATTGGAACATAAATATGTGAACATTTATTTAAATATGTGCTCCATAAAAAAATATATATATTACCTTTGATCACACAATATAATTTGAGTCATTAGATATTTCTAAAGTGTCCCGAAATTACAATTTTGCAACCTTTAGATTTTGTTAGGGGTTGCAAGTGTAACTTATTGTGGCCCGTAATTACGCTACGGAGATTTCGTTTCCCATATCGTCACAGGAACGTCTATGGTGCTTCTCTGGGTACTAGATTCTATCGCCCTATCAAATTTTGAATAATTAGCAAAAAAAAACAAATTCTTCATTGCATGAAATGTATGTTTTTATAATAATAATAATACTAATATATGGCAATAAAATTTTAAAGACCAATTAATTTTTTTAATATTAATCCCCTAATTCAGGGATAAATACTCAAATTCCCAAATTATTGGAATTGACAATATATATTTTTATAAATGTACTTAATTTAAATATCACTCTTAACTCTTCAATATTAGTTAATATGCTGACGCTTACAGTAAAATGGGTGTAAAATTTACACCTTTTTTATATGTCATTTATACTGTAAATGACATTTCGAATAGAAAATGAATTTAGAATATTTTGGGGTACACCGAGCTACGATTATCTAACTATAGTGCTGAACTATGTATATTTTATTAATAGATTTTTTCATAATGGCACCTAATGTCCTTCTATGCTTGAAAGTAGATATCCGGGAATACATGAAAAATGATTAACCTCCCAATAATATTTTACATCTAAAATGTGTTTCTATTAGAACTAGAAATCAAAATGATTTTTCGTTTTCGGTTAATGACGATTTTTAAGTAAATTTTTTATTATTATTTTTTGTAAAATAGGATTATTAAGAGAATTATTTAATTAAACAACGTTTAATACGACTAATAGAGGGCAAGTAGAAAACTCATAGAAATAACATCGATTGTTTTAAGAATTCAGTTTTCAACCGTAGCATATTTTTAGTTTTTTAGATAAAAAAAAAATCTTTGTGTTCATAAATTATTTTAAACATTTAAAGATTGATATAAAATTTTTTAAATTATTTTTTATTAATAAAATATTAATGGGAAATATAAATATATATATTGATTCACAAGTTATTCATTATTAGTAAACAAATCAATATTGAATTTTCATATTTTATTTAATATATTTATTTTAATTTTAGATAAAAGTTATTTTTACTATACTACATACTTTGTAAACAAATATATTTTTGCGGGACTTTACGGAATGCTATCCGTTTACTAAAATGTTGTGAACAAATTAACAAGGGGGCGTATGTTCTTCTTTACACTAGTGGCGTAATAAGGGTGTAAGCACTTTGAGACAGTTTGTATTTGATGTCCCCCAAATACTTGTTGAGCAAAATAAAATTTTTTTACTCCAAAAAAATATTATTAGCTTAAAACCGTAGAATATGCATTAACGTAAGAATGTAAATTATAAATAACAATACATACATACATAAATACATTTTTATCCGAGTTGTATTGGATTTGTTGGTAATGACGCGCCCAATTGATTCAGGGGTGTCTTTTTGATTGTATCATGGGGCAGCTGCTTAGTTACCCTATATTGAGATTACCACTAGAGCTTTTTATAAGTCAACATTTTAGAAAGTTCCATAATAAAAACCTTTCTATATTATAAAGAAGCGAAACTTGTATAAATTATGTCAGTTTAAAAAATATCACTTTATTTTTTTAAATTGTATGTTGGTAATATTGAACAATCTATCTCTATGACCAAATTTAAGTATTATCACTAGCAAGTTGGATTAGTAACATTTATCCCAACAAAGTTATCCATCTTGATCACTAGCATAAAATGTAAACAACAAATTTTGTTGTTTTTATATATAACTATGAATAATTTAAATGGAGGATTAAAATTATAAAACACAATTATTTTACTTTGGTAAGTAATAAAAAAAAATAATAACTTGCTTAAATTACTTATAGTAATATTTTATGTGAAAATAAATACTTAACGCAAAAATATTTGTGTTAAAATTATTAAATTTTAGCTTGTAACTCGTCTAAAATACGTAATCGCATTGCAATATTGTTTTTTCCATGATTGCCAACATACCGCTTACCCTCTAATTTTTTTTTTTGTGATATAGATTGGGAATGTCGAAAGTGTTGCCTTTATGATACTCTTCGTAGGGTTATGACATTTGAACTGCACAGGCCTACTGACCTGCGCAGCGACTTAAACGTAAAAATTTTTAGTTCTTAAAAATCGAAAATCGTTTATGAACGTCTACTTAATTGTTTCTACTACTTTTTTTTTTAAGTTTAAAGTCGTTATTAAACAATGTAGATTTAGTCTTACTCTATAACGTATTAATTTCAACCTTTAAACTCGGCCAGCAGTTTCTGATAGATTTGTGAGTGTTTTCAACTACTTATAATTGTTCATATTCTAAGTGTTTTTTCTTGTTCGTAGTGAAATAATTTACGAATAAATTTTTTAAGTAGCACAGTTGCAGTTCTCATAAGTATGTATTAAAATGGCAATTTGGAATCACTGAAATTATGTGCTAATAATGACGTATTACATGTCGATTGTCGTTTTAACATAGAGTACTTAAAATAATAAAATTTTATGAAGAGTGTATATTTAGTGAGTAATAAATTATTCCGTCTAAAGCATTACGTATCGTTTCCGTCGTGTCGATTAAATCGGTTGAAAATCGTCGCTTCGTATTTATATTGTTCGTATAGACGGTGCCGTGTAAGAAATAACATAGTTTATTTTGTTCGTCGTGTGTTATTGGTGAATCTACTGTTTCACTTTTGTAATTGAGGGATTTATAATATGTACAAAATACTTGCATATTTTTCAATATAGCCTAATAATTATTAGCTGTGATAATTATATATATATATATGTTTAGAATTATAGTATGCTTAACTGTTTTTTAAGTGTATACAAATAAGTTGTCGTGTTCTTCATGCATACCGTTGTATTTTAAATAGTAGCCATGTGCTGTAAATTGATGTTTACAAATTTGCAAGTGCTTCTTTACAAATCTTGTAACCTTAATTTATTAGATCATAATTTGGCATATTTTTAATTGAACAAAATGTAATACTGTAATATGTAAATTAAAATATGATTACATATTAACGTTAATACCCTAATATTTTAACATAATTGCCATTTTTAATTAAATTATAAATTTGATTTATTTTATAATTATATGTTTATGAAAATTTGGAAGAGTAATAAAAATAAAAATAATTATTTTTATTATATTAAAATAATAAAAAAATGCTGTATTATGTGAATGAAAAATAATTGTAGTAGATATAAACATTGATGAATACTATTATAATTTTTCAATTAATTTAAGTATATATTTTATTATACTTAGTACTCTTGAATTATTGTTTTATTTGCCAAATTATGACTGATCTATTTGTTTCCTTATTCTTTTTCGTTCGGTGTGATCGTTATTTGAGTCACGGTTCTCCATCTGGACATAAAAGAATTCAAGTAATTCTGACAGCTTGGCTGATGGTATGAAGTACGTCAAAAATTGTCAATTACAAATAATATTTTTAATTTACTAACTATATAATATTTTTTTGTATTATTGGGTTGTATCATAGTTACATAGAACATAAAATATTTTTCAGATCAGAAAATGTCTAGAAATGAACGACTTAAAGTTGACAAAAGAGCTTCAACTAGTCGAGCTAGATCTAAAGGTATTATCATTTTATAATTTTACCTTAATTGAAGTATAAAACATGAACAATTTATTATAATTTTGGTTTATTCAATAGATTCCCCTAGGAGGGAGTTAGAAAATGTTGTTAAAAGAGCCCGAAGAGATAGAGATCAAAGTCAATACTGGATTAATAAAGTTTTAGAAGCTGAAGAAAAAGATCCAAATAGGTAAGTATTTGTCATAATATTATTTTACTACCTCTTTCATTAAATAAAATATATTAGAGTGGTCCACAGTTAAACTTAATCTTAAATCTGGTAAATTTTTATGATAGTTGACTTATTTTGACTTCAATTTTCCTTGTTATTTTTATTTTTTTATAAACAAAATGAATTGAGAGAAACATTAAATAACTATTGTCTTAACTTCAAATTAATGTAATTAATATTAAATCTAATATGGATAATATTTTTATAGATGGAAACATTCTGGTTTTAAGGAATTGTACACTGAGAGACGATCTAGATCTATAAGTAAACGTTCATCTAGTAGTTTCTCTTCAAGTTGTACTCGTTCATCAATGCATAGATCATTATCTCGTAGAAGACGAAGGCTACTTTCACCTGATATTAGACGTTCACAACGTTCATTATCTGTACGACGTGCTTCTCCATTATCCAGACGGCGCTCACCATTTCGTTCTAAAAAATCCCCTTTGTCTCTTCGTTCTAGAAGGAGACGTAAATCTTCTTCTGAATCCCCAATTACTAATAGTTCACGGTTAAGGCGCTCTAGATCATTAAGCAGAAAAAAGCGCTCTCCATTATTTAGTCGCAACCATAGAATTATATCACCATCACATAAAAAAAGAGGAAATAAAAAACATGGTCGAAAACATATAAGGCACTCATCAGAAGATGTATGTTATAGATACTAAAAAAGTAGACACTAAAATTAAAAAAATTTTTGATCTAGCAGGTTCGTTCATCTAGTGTAAGCACTTGCTCAGACTCACATTGTTCTGTTTGTGAAGCTAGAATACCTATGAATAGACGTGAGCCTCCTCCAGAACCTCTAGCTCGACCTAAGTCTCCAAAAATAGCTAGAGCTATTATTCCTATTCATGAACGTTCAAGGTAACAATAAATATATCAAATAATTTTGTCCCGTAAGTTGCCACAGGTTTACAACAAATAACTACCAATATTTTTTACTCTAATTTAATGTAAAACAAATATTTCATTGGGTGTCCTAAAAAATTGTTCAGAGTAGACATATCACCAGGGATAATAAAATTACTAATCATGACTAGACTAGTAAAATTCAGGATGGGCCATTTAAGTTAGTAGGTTTTGGGATGTTTGGACCCTTTAGTCCATGTTTTGGATTATAGGTTTCAGCGTGTTTCCCTTAATCTATGCCCCAGAAATAGTTCTATAATCGCAATAAAAAAAAAATTGGAGAGGAATATAATGTTTCTTCTACTGTAAAAAATATATTAATAAAATTGCAAATATTAATTTCTTAATTTTTGAAGGAGCTATTTATCATTTGTGAGGCTAGATCCCCTAGCATACATTATCAATATTGCTCCTTGAATTTCTTAGCCAGTTTCTGAATGATGCATAAAACAGATTTTATCACAATATCCATTGAAACAGAAAAGGGGATCTAAACATTTTTTCTTTTCTTATGAGTTCTGTCTTTCCCATTTACTATCTTAGTTCTAAATGAGTAGTGTTTCAGTACTTTAGAAAAACAGATATACGGTGTTTAGAAATTAGGGCAAAAGTTTCATTTACTAGGATTTGACCTAGTGCACTACCTTGCATTTACATAAACTTTGTTAAAGTATTGTCACAGGTACTGTTGTCATTTTTTATAACTGTACCGGTTTCCCCCTCACTTGTATAGCCATACTTTCTCATAATTTATATATTTTTTGAGTCTATCAATTAACCTGTACTGTATTGGAAATACAGTGAGATTAGTGTTTTGAAAACTGTAACTAAGCTTAAATGGTTATTTTCATATGAACCGTATAATATCTATTATATGGTTCATATAGAAACTATTAGTAACTATTCATATAATAACTATTAGTAATGAGTATAATTTTTTAGGTCGAGATCATTTTCAGTCCCAAGATATACACCAGTTGTAGAAGTAAGTTCTACCACTGGTTTGCCAAAAAGTAGTGGACCGCCAGAACCAGCACCTACAAAAACCAAACGCACAAAAAAAATTAAATCACATAAAAAGAAAAAATCTCATAAAGTGAAATCTTCTCACATTGAAACTGTAAAATAATCTTAAATACTTGTTTTAAATAAGTATAGCTTTTTTATAACTTGGTTTTGTATAATTTTTGTAAGGCAATATTACACCAGCCTACTATTAAGGTGGAATCTATGTCTGACGAAGATTCGAGTGTTGGTGGTTCGGATATGCCTATGAGTTCATCATCTGGGGGTCATCTGACATTATCTGAACGTTTTAGTAAAATGGCTCAAATGGGTCGTGCTCATGAATTACCACAAAGAAGTCTTCGTGTTACAGCTGGTGATGACTATAGAGTTGAAATTGGCTCCCCACCTCATCCATTCCCTACTCCAGCAATAGGGTAAGTTGATTATGCCATTTATTTTTTAAATATATTAATTTATATTAATTGTACTAGATCTTTGCCAGAGGGAACATCTATTGAAGATGTTAAAGGACGGTATGCTTATTATAAAGAACAAGGATATTTAGGTGACCTTTCATTAACTGATTATGTAAAATGGGAAGAATGGTGGTATAAATATCAGGACTGGTTAGAAGCTGAACGAGCTTATGATGCACATTTAGATAGGTATACTCGTGACAGAAGATACAGAGATGAACCACCAATATTTTGACTTTTTTTTTTTAATTTGGTTTTTTCTTGGATTAAAATGAAAAAATCACTATACATCGACTTAAAGAGAGGTATGGTAAATGATTAAATAGTGCATTGATAAATAACATATGTACATGAGCGTGTATATATTATATATAAATATATATATAAATGTATAATTATTGTGTAAAATTTGAAGTTAACAATATCTGTTTAAAAATATATGTTAACTAACAAATTAAATATTATTCTTAATGTATGTTAAAATTAGATAGTGGAATAAAACAATGCCCCAAACTTGAAAATTATCTTGGTATAATGTTCAAACATTTAAGATGATAATGATTATAAGTCATTGAGTTATTGTTATTTTTTTAAATTCCTTTTTCAAATTTTAATTATTTTTGGTTGTAACGAAAATTATCTTTTATATAACTTTTATAATATTTATTTGTATAAAACCATTTGTCAGTGCAGTGTTAACTTAGTTGAACTTATATAATATTTATAATTTGTGCATAATACTAGAAAAAATACAAATAGTATATATTTACTATTTTTTAGAAATAATAATTATTTTAATTGTTAAAGTGTAAACTAAACAAATTGTTTTTCTATAGTGTGACTAATATTCAGAAAAATAATTGTTATTATAAAAATATTTACTAATATATACCAAAATCGAAATCATCAGTTACTATTTACGGCAAATTTTTTTCTTATTTATATATTTTATGTCCTTCAATATGATTTTCAACAATGATTTATCTTTTTTCAAATAGAATATTTTTTTTTCTTTGAATTTTTTAGAATGGTTTAACAATACCTTGTATCAAATCATTAAGCTGTCAATAACCAAATAAATTGTATATATTAAGTATTATTTTAAGCGTTAGATGAATCAAGAGGATATGTTCTCCAAAATTAACTTTATTTTGTAAGCCTAATTTTTGGTCTACATTTTAATGTACAAATTAGATGGATCATTAGCAATCCTTATTGTTTTTGGAATTTCATAGTTTAATTTTATCAGGTTTAATGGATTTCTTTATAAAAAGTATTCTTATTATTTTGAATTATTTAACTCATAGAAATACACTTAAGTGTATTATTTTTAATAGTTATGATAAAAAAAATATATAATATGTATATATATTATATCAATATTTCTACACAGTACTAAACTCTGCTAAAATGATATCAATTGAAAATGTAGTAACTAAAAAATTGGATTTGGCATTTTAAAATCGTTAGCTCAAATCAAAACAAGAATAATTACACAGCTTAACAGCTATTTTACTGTCTTTAATATTATGATGAATTCTATCTTTAGAAAACTTTCTAAAATTTTAGTGATAATAACTTAATATTGAATTTTCATATCATAAATTTAAGTAACATTTAAAGTTTTGATGTGCAAATCCTGAGGTTCTATTCCATTGCGCTAGGCTAAATATGTTTTCTTGTCCTCTGGCATAAACTATAACTTTAAGATAGAATATTAAAAACGAATAAAATATAATAATTAAAAAAAAATTAAATTAATTATATATATCCTTATAATTATAAAATTATGAGGGTGTAACTTCATACCCAACAGTTGTGTCACAAATCTATATTATGTTATAGCAGCAGAAAGAGTGCTACTACTGCCTTCTTGAATTATTGTTGCCTACTAGAAAAAAAGTTTTGGTTCTAATTTTTTTTAGAAAAAATATTGAATAACAAATTGGCAAAAATTATTTACATTTTCACCTAAGAGTTTCTGGAATTGACTTGTTATGTTAGATTTTTCTTTTATAAATAAATGACTAGGATTGTTCTGAAAAGAGTAACACACTCAATCTTGACTTAAGGGGTAATATCCACCAAATTTTTTTTTTTTTTCATGTTTTTTTTTATTGGCTTAAATCATGCTAAAACTATCCTAGAATCAAAATCTTCAACGCCCAAGTACTGATCTAAACTCAAAATTCGTTTAAATCAATTTTTTCGGAAAAACTTTTATTCCCTAAAATCACATTTTTCACTTATTTTAGCGATGCTCGTTTTTTTTTTAATTTCGCTGCTTTGTAAATTAGTAGAAGTTACCCATGATCGATATCTTTTTTTGAATTTGAAGTATAGAATTTCGATCGTTACAGTGTCTGTACAGCACGTGTTTACTCACAATTTCTCTTTGTTTAGTCGATCAGCCGTTCTAGTTGTGTACGTTCTTAGTTTGAGTTTTGCTATACTTTTTAACTGTGAATTATATTCAAAAGTACTTAATTATGAGTAACAAGTTGTACAGTGGCCACAAAGGCAGTAAAACAAGAAGTACCAGAACAACCCGGAGTAAAATTAGTAACCGACACCCGCCTAACCGCCATGCGTTCGAAGGCTATTCAGAGTACGTTAGTACCTCGGCGAAAAAATTAAAAACTTCTGATTTAAATCGTGATTGCAATGTTGATAGGGATTTCGGCTACTGTTTCATACATTTTTTTGCTGTATTTACTGCTCTTTCTGAATTATTAGTATGTAAAAAATGTAATAGTGATGTGCGGTTTTCACAGTCGAACTGCTGCTTGTTCGAACTGCGGTGATGCCGATATTTTTAACTGTCCTCTAATACATGATCGTGCTTATGAGATCAATTGCCGTATTATTTTTGCTATGCACGTCATTGGCATAGGCATCAACGATATAAAAAAGTTCTGTGCGATGATGGATCTCGCAAAGCCTGTCAAGCGCAGTAAAGCGCTTGATACTCTTGCAACATACGAGCACAAGAGTCCAATGCATGAGGATGTTTTCAAGGCGATACAACCCATTTTTAAAGAACTCAGCTCCGACGACCTTCAGTCACGCTGCTTGTGTGTGTATTCTCAAAATAGTATCAAGTATTTCAATGCTGTAGTGTGGTTAATTGCTCCAAAATCGATATCTAGCGATAAGACTATAGTTGATATTGCGACTGATATTACCGTTATTACCTTCAACGAAGGTTTATCGGGTATGTTTGCGTTTATGATGCTCTTGGGTTAACCGTTGGACCGAATATGTACGAGTTTTGCGTGGGATCGGACGTCAATCGCGTCAAAGTCGCTGATCATCGTATGTCCGATATCGCGAAAGAGGCTAGGAGCAGCCTTACATCAGACAAAAATAATGAAGAAGAGGAAAATAAGGACCAGGAAGGACAACTTTACGGCGCAGGGATAGCTGACTGAAGGTAAAAAAATTATTAAGGACTATATTATTGCGATTCTTAAGATTTATAGCATTTTGAAACTTTAAACGCGTTTTTCTCAAAACCATGTTATCAAAATCGGCGAGCAGTAGAACTGAAAAAGTTTACATCCGATTGACTTGAAATTTTAACTGTAGCTTCTTCATTAGATTATCTAGTGAAATACACACGATTTTAGCGATTGGTTAACAACAAAAAAAGTTATAAACAATTATAGTCGATTTTTTTTGTAGAAAAAAATTTTTTTTTTTTAAACCGTCGCCATTTTACGAAAAAAAATTCTAAAAATATAATCATGTGTACTTCACTAGCGACACTCGTGTAGATCATGAAAAAAATTTTTCTTTTGTTATAGGTGGAGTTGGGCACGACTTTTACTGCTCGCCGCGGAAGAACTTTTTAAAAAAGCAGTTCACGGCAATCGCTGCACAGCCGCCATTTTGTTAAAAAAATAACAATAAAAAATATTTTTCTAATCTCCAAGAGTTGCTTAATCCAATGATATATTATTTATATACCTTACATCTCAAATGTCCTTTAAAAAAAATCATGAAAAAAGCCATGTTTTTTTGAGCATTTGGTGGATATTACCCCTTAAGAAGAGAATCAGTGGAGTTCATGTTTCCCAGGACATGATATTTAAGGGCTTTAGATTTTAGCTTCGAATCGAAGCTGAGAAGGTATCAATTTTACTATGTCTTTTTTTTTTTTTTAATTATTTATTTTTTTTTTTGTTTCTGTGAACGCGCAATCATAGCTCTCGCTGGACCTATTTTGATGAACAACAATACATCAAAAGATCACAAATCGTATCTAGTCGAAGACATTACCCTCAAAAATTGAAAAAAAAATCACTCGTTCCCCCGTAAACGGAGGAAATCTCCAAAAAATTACAAATTTAAAAATCGCTAATTTTCGACATTTTTTCAATTCATTTTACTTAAAACTGCCATAATTTTTTTAAAAATGACCGAATCAATATAATTTTTTTTTTTTATAGATATCTTAGGTATTTACCTATCATTTGATATATTTTTGTGAATATTCGACCCTTTAAAAGCCCACAGGAAGGGTTTCAAAATGGCAACTTTTTCACATAAAATTAACTTTTGAAAATGTTCCGGAAAGACTGACACTTTTATATAAATTTTAAATTAAAGTTTATGTAATATACTTTAATTGAAAAAAATTAATTTGATTTCTGGACTTGTCTTTATGGTAAAATTGACTACCGTATGCAAAAATATGATATTTTTGTGAAAAATTCTTGATATCATGAATGTGTTAAAACTTTCATATAGTTGTATAGTTGCAGCCACCGAGTAGCAACCATCACTCTGAAGATGGACTCTGCAATGAGTCCGAAACGTCAGAACTCAACTGTAAACATGGATGTATCCTCAAGCACTTCAAGCAATCTTGATATCATATTTTACATATTTTAACATTATGTTGCTATAACTTTTTTAAAAAGTATGGATCAATACAATTTTTTCAGGAGAAATACTATTTATATACCCCTTTCATCTGACATACTTTTTTTTTAAATCGGATCATACCCATTTATACAAGGGAGTCAAAACTTTAAACATGCGTATTGAAACTATTTTTAATTAAATTTTTTAAAGTGTTCCAGAAATACTGACACTTACATATATCTTAAATTAAAACTTACTGTATTCAAAAATATTCTATTTTTATGATAAAATTCGGGGTTTTGTATTTTATTTTATTTTAAAATACCGGACAAGGAGAGTACACTGATTTTCATAAATATTATATAAATCAAATTAATATAGCATAGAAAGTTAAACTTATTTAAATTTTTTTGCTTTTTTTAAGAAAAAAAAAATTAACTTTGAAATTTGAAGTAGCTTAAATTGCCATTTTTTTTTTCAGTTGACCGAAGCGACGTACAGTTGGCGGTCACTTGTGTATTACGTGTTTGGGATACAAGGTTCCAACCTGTGTATGGAAACGAATTCTTTGCATTTTTTGCTTAATTTTTTTTAAGTTAGAATAAATTTTCTAGTCATTTGATTTTTATCTCATTTAGATTTAATAACTTTAATAAAGATCAAGAATGCCATCACTGTAGTCGCCCCTCGCGAGAAGAAATTTCTTATTCATATTAAAATTATTTTACTATATTTTAGGTTTTAGCTTCGATGCAAAGGTGAGAAGGTATTTTTTTGTGACTCTCATTTATTTTCTTTGCTCTAACTTGACCTACTTTTTTCAACGATACGTCAAATGATTACAATTCGTTGAAGATATTACCTTCAAAAATTAAAAAAAAAATTCTAATTTATTAATTAAACAGTTACTTATCCCATGTTCTCCATACAGACAATTAAAATCATTCATTTCTAATGTTTTCAAAATATTTATTGACAAATCAAGTTTGATATAATAGATTTCAACTACAAAATTAAATCATTTTACTTTGCAATTTAATAATTGTTTTACCCTATTTGTGTGTGCTACTATAGTATTATAGCATATTATAATCTAATATACTAGATTATAATATTCCAAATTTTTTGGTAACATATTTGCTGTATAAATCATTTCTAAAAATAATGATTTTTAGTTTCTCCTAAATTAACAATGGATTTTTATAATTATAATGAAATTTCATACTACGATTTATTGAGTGATCTACTCAATAGAGCGTATTATATATTTTAACACCTATTTTTGATTGGTTCTTTTAGTTAAAGTAAATCATTAAAATTAATTTAGTTCATATTTCAATTGTAGAATCTTTTTTAATACCATAAGTTACTAGGAAATGATTACTATTATTTCTATTTAAGTTATATATTACGATAAAAATACAAAAAAATATTGAGCTTTTCTGATACTTTTATTATAAATAGTAATTATTAAATTTGCTGATTGCATATTAATCTTAACGATACAATTTTTTAATTCTCATAAAATTTCCTATTTAATGATGTCAATTTGAAACTTGCAAATTGAGCTAAAAGTTATGGTAATAAATAATTTTTTTTTTTATTATACACTCACAAAAATCAACATTAAAGGATTAAAAAAATAGGTTAAATATGTCATTTTTTTATTTTTAACATATTAATTATCAAAAGCAGTATTAATTTAAAAGAAATTTTTTTTGTTCTTAATTATTTTTTTTTGTATATAAATACTTATTTTATAATAATAAGTAATAATATGAAAACTTAGAAATGATAGAAAAAGTTTAATTGCACATTTGAAAATATCGCGAAAAGTATATTTTTGTTTCTGATGAAAGTTCTTTCTAGTTCAATGTATAAAACTTATAACTTTGTTATAAGTAACAAACATTTTTTATGTTAAAGTATTGCATCAAGCCCTTTAAATTTTTATACGCGTTGAAATTAAATAAATATACTTTATTATTTCTATAATATCTCCGTAAATATTACAATATTAAATTATTGAACATCAATTTCATACTAAATTTAATTACTATAATTATTATTTATTCATATATTATAATTATAAATCAAAAAACTAATCGGGATAAAATTAAGGGAATAAGAGTTATTGTTGCTTTTAAAATAATCTATCAATTTCTTAAAATTAAATACTATCTACAGATTTGCATCAAAGCGTTCTTAGTGCTAACCACAAAAAACTAGAGAACTACAATAAAGTTATGTTATGCTAGATAACATTTTTTGTTATTTATAAAAGAAAATATGTTTTAAAAAGTACTAGGTTTAAAATGGTTTTTCCATTCTAAAAAGTTTAAAGCGACTGATGAGAACTTCTCGCAATATATTTAAAAGTTTTTACAGTTTTTTCTTTCCAGAAATTAATAGAATACTATTTCTAAAATTTTCAAAAAAAAAAAATTGGTCCTATCCCCCTTAAAAACCTTTAAAGTAGTATCAACTTGAGTTTTTTAAGTGAAATCATATTTTTAAAAATATAAATAGATGTAGAGGCTTCAAAAAATTTTTTTTTTCATTAATCGATTTAAGAATTATTAAAGGATATACTCTGAAAATTTCAAAGCAAAATTCCAATCAATTTAAAAGTTATAGGCATTTGAGTGAGCGTCCTTCGATTGACCGGTTTAATGGGCGCTAGACGTAGTACGGAACGTTCGAGTAGGTAGTCAATTATGAACGACCTTAAGTGTTAAAAGGATACACATGAACCTGATGAAAGACTGCAAATATGACTGGAATAGCTGGTAATTTCTTAAGATTTTTAATCTGACTCACTACTATCTTAAATCTACCTTCACTGCCACTCTTTTTTTTCAAACGTGTTTTTCTCGAAACTACTTTTTTCGAATTTGTGTACTCTCTAGCTCGCAGTTTTTAATCAATATTTATCAAAATTTGGATGTCATATACGTATATATATATATATATGTATGTTCTATTTGAATTTCAATAATTTATAATTATTATAAATAATATCTTTATTTTTTCATTGCAAAAAAAATGTTAAAAAAGGTATTTAATCTTCATATTTTAAAGAAAAATTTAAATTCTGGTTTTTTTTTTGTGAAAACTGTAGTTTAAATAGAAAAAACAATTATAAAAAAAGTAAATATTTTTAAAATAATTGTGACCTCCATAATGTACACAAATTACCCTGTTGGGTGGCAACCCATAATGTGCAGTAGTAGATAGATAGTTCAATACTAGAACAGAAGTAAAGTGGGCTTGTTTAATTTCATCTTAGGGGTATTTATGAACTTTACTACTCCTGTCCTAGTATAAAAGTGCCAATATATTTTAAAATACTAGTTCAACAGTTTTTATTGCCAAGTCATTTTTTTATTTTTAAGCTAATTAAACATGTTTCTATTTAAAAAATGTAATTTGATACTACTTTAGAATTTTTTTTTAAATTATAATTAGGACACTTAATTTTGAAAAGAAAAAATTATTATGTTATATACTTTTAAAGATATCGCAAAAAGTATAATAATGTTAATCAATCATCTTGTACTTATCAATTCATCATATTTAGATATTTACTAAATTAATGAAACATGATAAAATTATTATATTATAAATAATTTTTATATTATTCAACTATATAAAGTAAAAAAAATGTTAAATGATTTCATAATATATTTTAACAATTTTTAATTTTAGCTATAAAAGCTTAATTTGTTTTTTAAAATACATTCAATAACAAAATATTATTTTTTCTTAAGGTAATCATGAAATATTTGAATATTTTCTTTGTTAATGTTATATTTTAATAGACAATCTAAACAATGTTGGTTAAAATCATTAGTACCGCATATAAACCATAAAGATTGAGAATTTTTATTTTTATTTATGATATCTTTAATAACACTTTCTGAAATTCTTCCTTTGAAAAAAGTTTCATTATACCAAAATGATTCAGAACATTTTGTCCAATCCTCTTCCTTAGTTAAGTATAAAGATATTTTACAATTCCAAAACAAACTAAAATCAAACAGCATTTTACGCAATAAAATGTCATCTAAAGTTTTGCAAGAATAGTGCAAATCTATAATGGTGAAACATTTTTCATTTTTAAGAATTGTCTGAATAAAACCTATAAATGCAGCAATACCAGAACCAGCACAAAACATATTTAATTTATCTGCATTATTAAATTGAATTCCTCCTGATGGACCTCTTACGTATACTATATCATTAATGGATTTTTTAATGAGTTTTTCTGAAAATTTTCCATTAATATAAGATTTGATTAATACTTTGAAAGAACAATTTTCACTAAGAGAAATTGGTGTAAAGGGTCGAGTAATGTTGTCAACTTGTATAAAGATGTGCTGGGTGTATATTATAGGCAAATAGCCATTAGTTTCTGGATATGCTATAAATGTGTACAGCCGTGTATTTTTATTAAGCTGTTCTATTGCTGCTATCTTAAATGGCTTGTTCTTTGTTACAGACAGCATATCTCGACGTAGTTGATCAGAATGATTGGTCTGACGAATTTTCCAACGAGAATATTCATCTTCATAAACATCAAGAATACATGGTAAGCATCCAGAGCCACAGCAATCTGATTCTAAAGGACGTTCTGGTGGAGGATCGTACATTATATTTTCAAAATTTTCAAGTACAGCAAGTTACAATACTTAATTTTTTGACAATAACTAAAGTAACTTTATATGATTTGTGATGAATTATAATTACCTTTCAACTAATTTGTATACTTATTTAGTATTGTGCAATTAATAACTACTATACATTATACTTTAAATAACTCAATATACTTTTCACTTATAAATGTAACACTTTTATATACATTGTAATGGACAATTTTGTTTAATATTAGTAATACATTTATTAGTATAACTATCATAATAAAGATTACCTATGATACTTTTTAAAATTATGATTTTTAATGATTACAATCGGTAAACTACAATATAGTACATACTAAGAACTAATTTGTATAATTAATACCAGATATCAGTCTTATCAGTCCCCAACACACCGCATTATTTATATCAAATAATATAATATGATAACATTAGTATGGTAATATTACAGAAAAAAGTATTATCGTTGTATAAAAAATTTAATTGATATTTTTTAATAGAGTCAGGTAAAAAGGAGTATGAAACACAATTTATGAGACTACTTAGATTATAACAAAGAAATTAAATTTCAAAAAAATATTTGAAGCAAAATTCTCTATTTTAAAAATAGGGTAAAATTATCTGATACATAATATAAACCATTGAGGCAACTAGAGAAAAAATCTGGGGGGTTGTAAAATTTTGTAAGAGTCGCAAAGCTCTTTAAGTGCTAATTTTTTTGCTTGAATTTTCAAAAGAGTATCAAGGTGTATAAAAAGAAAATTATTTGACTCTCAGTGGCAGATTTAGAGGAAGAAAGCTGTGGTCACACTCTCCTTTTTAAGCTATTGCCTCCAACTAAAAAAAAAGGAAAAGATGTTTTAAATGATTTAATTGACAATGAAGGTAGATAATTTGGACGCCTAAAATTTTTTTGCGCCCTCCTTAATGTTTTTGTTTGGTCACTGAGGACTATTATTAAAAAAAATATGAATAATATATATTTATAATTCATATATTAAAAAAATAGCAATTTAATGATAAAACTAAAAATTAGTCCAGTTTGACAAGTGCCATTTTTTAGAATTTTTTTCTTACAACTTAATACTAATAAAATTTTAAAAATAAATACTTCTTAAAAATTTATGAAGTATTATTCTTATTACTTTATATTTTTAAATGTTTCAAAAATTATGTAATTAGAAATTTTTTTCAAAAGAAAAAAAAAATTCAGTTTATAATAGCATATTTTGTGAGATACATAAAAAAAAATGTAATCTCTTAAATATTCTAATTCAATACAAAAAAAAATTTGAAAAATTTAAAGAAATATATTGGTAATATTAAAATTTATTACATATTATTATTAATATAGTTTGCTATACATGATAAAATTTGAATGAATTTACTAAAATAAACGTTTAAATTAAACAATTAGTAATATTTTATTTAAAAGGATATTAATAGCTTTAATGACTCTAAGTATTTATCTATGATATTGAATGATATCAATTATGTGATTACAATTCATTATGGTCAACTAACCAATCATCTTGGGGTTGTCGATATGTTTCATTGTCCATAAGCACAAAATTTACACCAGGTCCATAATAAGGTATTATGTAATGAGATCCATCAGCAGGACGCACAATTTGGGTAGCGATAAGCACGACATCAATTAGTTGTCCAATGAACATAAAGCCAAGAGTACATAATTTTAATAAACCTATTGCTGGATAGCCCAAATAAAAACGATCAACTCCAAACATTCCCAAGAAAATAGAGAGTAATAATGTGGTTTCATAACGATATCCATTTCTAGAAAGTATAATATAAAGAATTTAATTTTGATAAAATGTATAAAGAACTTCATAATTATTTTGATTAAAATAATATGATTACTGAATCATTAAATTAATTTTTAAGCCTACAAATTGTTAATTTAGTAATACATTATTAATAAATGGATTATTAGGAATCAAGTTGAAAATTATTAATTTATACTATACTTAGTGTTTATTATTATTCATTATTTTTATACTAACGTCCATTTACAATGAGCTTCTTTCCAAAAAGTAGAATTATTTGTTTCAGTACAAATAATTCCATCAGCTGCTTTACATCTCACTAAAATTAAGTTGTTGAAATATTAAAAAGATAAAAATAAAAATGTATACCAAAATACCTTTTGCAATATTCTCTTTAGTACAGCCTCGAAGCTGCTGTGTTGATGGATCTATATAGTCATACCCAGGATCTGGACATAAAAACTGACCCATTCTTAAGTTTTTACACTCTGTTTCATATACAGTTTTAACTGGTCCAAATGATAGTCGTCCATAATTAACAAAATATGTTAAAAATATGATCAACTTATAAATCCATGTAAACATTATGACATTGTCAAAAAAAGTAACAATATAGTAAAATTTTAACTAGTAGTACATAATAAAAGTATACTTATAGTTTTAATAATATATTGAATAAATTAAAATTTATTAACATTAATTTATAGTATGATTTACTATTGTATCATTTTTGATATAAATAGTAACTGTTGCAATTCATTAGGCACTCTTAAAATTTCTAAAATAATTAATAAAACATTTAATTAGTTGTAACAAAATTGATTTCGTCATGGAATAATTATTATTTTATTGATTATTATCATTGTCTACACAAATATGTGAGGGCTACAAAAATCTATTATCACCGGTGTTGTTATCTTTAATAACAATTTAAAAATAAAGTAAGATAGCTGAAAGCGCAAACAAGTTATTGTCCCGAAATAAATTTTTCCTATTATATTATATAATTATATTTATATATATATATATACTTGGTTTATTTTCTATCAAGGATATTTTTAACTTTTCAATTATTACCATTGAAATTTGTGAACAAAAGTTATGGTGTCATCAAAGTCGTACTTCAAACTGAATTTATTTTGGATGGACTCATACAGTGTGAACAGTCAGACAAATAAAATATGTGTATTTTACTTGGTAAAAAAATTTTATCTTGACTCAAAATAGTCAGATTAGTTAAACATTAAAATTTTTAGTACATCCAAAATTAACTGTTCTTAATACCTTTAATATTTATTAATCAATAAATAATTTATAATATGTATAAATTATTCATACAACTTTTAAATAACTTGTAAATGTATAAACTCTTTCTTCTTAGGAAAATCAATACTCTACTTTTACTTTCATAATTATAATAAATACTTTGTAAAATATATGTAAATTTAGTTTTAAAAATAAAAATTTTTAATTTTAATAATGGACCTTATGAGATACTTTTTTGATGTTCTTCCAGTAGATATTCATAGTACAGTGAGAGATACGTGGTTTAATAAGTTAATAGATCATTATACTTCCCCGAAACGTCAATGCCATGGTTTGAATGACTTATACAATTGTTTAAAACATTATGAATCATCAAAAGAATTTTTGAAAAATCCAAATGCAGTTTTTTTAGCTCTTTTATTTAGACAGTAAGTAATCTAAGTAAATACGTTTCGTACTAAGTAAAACTTTTTGTTTTTAGTTTTGAATATGATCCAAAGGATACCAATTGCAGTGAAGTTAACATAAATCATTTCAAAAAATTTGCTGATGAATCAAAACTCTGTAATGTATGTTAAAATTACTTAAAAAAATTTTTTCAATCAAATAATTTTAATTGTATTTTAAGGATTTATGTGATGAAGTGATTTCATTGTTAAAAGTAGCTTCAATAAACAGTACAGATGAACATAAAATTGAAGGTTGCTTTGGATATGATGATACACATTACTTTTTAGATATTGACATGGCTGTATTAGGAATGAGTCCAACAGAATATAAAAATTACATAAATCAAGTTAGAAAAGAATATGATTTCCTTGATGAAAATTCTTATAAAGATTTAAGGTTAAAAGTAAGATTTCAAACATTTCTAAGAAAAAAGAAATAGTTAAATAATTAATTTTAGTTTTTCAAATTTGATGTAGATTCTTGAAAATTTCCTACAAATACCAAATATTTACGCTACTGAGTTTTTTAGACAAAAATATGAACTGGCTGCAAGAAGTAATATTCAAAAGGAAATAAATGTTTACAAAACTATATAGGAAGAGTCATTAAATTAATTTTTACGATGTATTGTATCATATGTTATGTTTTGTTAAATTTTGTTAAATTTTAAATTTGTTTTTTATAATATTTAAAAAACATGTGTTTTAATTGCAATGATAATTATTACTAGTTAATTGTTTAAAAAATAAATTTCATTTTTGTTATCCAATTATATGTTTTATCTTATCTAGTAGATGTTCCTTTTATTTCTGCTACTTAATTTGTCAAGCCTCAGGATACATACCATATAAATTCACAGATTCAGGTAAGGACTTAATAGTGCTACTTAATTATTTAAAAAATAAAAAATTAGAACTTATTCTAGGTATATTTGTAATTTTTTTTATTGCATATGGCATGGTATTGGTGTACAACGGCCATACAGGATTTCTGGATTTCAGTATTTTTTTTGGTGCGTTATATAAATCATTATAGATTGGAAGGTTTGGAAAGTTTTTTATTTTCTTAATAATTTTTAGCGCTGTTCTGTGCCTACACACTTCTGGTGGGGCTATATGTGAAAGCACTGATAGCCATTCTAACTTAGTTGATTTGACACAACTTGATATAATTCTCATTGTACGATTGAGTTGTACGTCGACATTTTTAGTGCGAGTACTCCTAGCCAACACTGGGGCGCAGTATTCTGCAACGCTGTAAACTAATGCCAAGGATGAAATTCGTAGTACGTTCGCCCTACATTCCCAGCTTGTTCCGGCCAGTTTGCTGATGATATTATTTCGTGCTTTCAACTTTTACCCTTCTAGGTGTTGTTTAAAAGTTAATGATTTTTGCTTGTAGTGCTTGAGGATATATCCATGTTTACAGTTGAGTTCTGACAGTATAGTTGCAGCCACCGACTAGCAACCATCACTCTGAAGATGAACTCTGCAATGAGTCCGAAACGTCAGAACTCAACTGTAAACATGGATATATCCTCAAGAAACAAGACAATCCATGAAAGTTTTAACACATTCATAAGTTAATGATTTGTCAAGCTTAATACCTAGGTACTTTGGTACATTTTCGGTTGGTATAGAATTACCATCCACTACCAGATTTATTTTCCTGTTCGTTTCTCTGTTACTTAGGTGAAAAACAATGGAGGCCGACTTACTCGGGTTAAGAGTAAGATGCCAGGATTTAAAGAAAGTGTGTACTTTAGCTAAGTCCTGGTTCAATATATTTTCCACCTCTTCAAATGTTTCCGCTTGAGCTATTAAACCCACTTCGTCTGCATAAATAAATTTCCTTGATATAGTACTTGTTATATGGGCTGTATAGGTATTGAATAAGATTGGAGAAAGAACAGAGCCCTGAGGGAGACCATTTTGAAAGTATTTATATTTGCTTACATTTCCGTTTAGGTGCAATCGAAATTTCCTATGTCTGCTAACATAGATTCAATGAGTCTGAGGATCATTTTGCAATTCGAGATGTTTGCTAACTTCAGGAGTAACCCACGTTTCTAGACCGCGTTGTATGCACAGGTAAAATCTAAAAATACTGCTCCCAATTTCTTTTTTTCATGAAAACCATTTTCGACATGTGTCAACATTGACAATACTTGTTCACAGCAACTTCTACTATGTATGAAACCTGCCTGCTCCTTAGGTAGGGTGTCTTCAATTTTCATTTGTATCCTCGTCAGGAGGACCCTTTCAAACAGCTTATACACAATGACAATAAGGAGATTGGTCTGTAGTTTTTAGGATCGCTCCCTGATTTTCCGGGTTTCAGGATTGCAATCACCTTTGCTTCACGCTTTACTATTGGTAGAGTAGTTGTGTTTTTGACGTATGAGAAAATATTGGCATATTTGTAAATGTCCACCATACTATATGGAGGAGCAGAGACATGAACCAAAGTGATGAAGAACTTATGGTTCTACTTCTGAATACAAACCTAAGTATACTGAATAGAGGTTACAAGCATCCTATTTTAGTAATAAGTCATTGATCTTGCAGTTTCAACTTTGTAATGTTGTTGAATGTTGAAACGGAGTACTGTAAAAACCCTAAAAAGACAAAATGGTATGATATCAGGCAGATTTTTCTCTTGATCTGAAAGACTTACAGTTTTGATTAGGGTTGGCGCATAGAACTAAAAGGGCTGTAACTGACCCTTAGTATTGCACACTTTTGGCATAGAAAGGAAAGGTATAGAATAAAGTATAGTTTGATAAAAAGTTAATCTGTCAAAATTAATAAAGAATTCGTAAACTTTTATCTAAAGTAATGAAATTAGGTTTGGAACAACATTGGGAGTCCTGTAGGGACTCTTAAAGGCAATACAAATTTGCATTGTAAAAGTCCAAAAGAGACAGCTAGAAAAATTTCTGTGGGGAATAACAAATAGAAATAGATTTGAACAAAACTGTCGTAGCATTGTTATTTCCAGACGATACATTCACAAAAAATGATAATGAGGCCTTATCACAAATGTTGAACATATATTTTCCTGGCTCTGAAATTTATAACAAAGAATAGTTACATGAAATACGAGGCAATTGTATAACCTGTGTAAAATGGCCGCTAACGAGAAAGTAACTTCAAATGGTATAATAAAGCAATATATACTTTTGGAAGATTTAAAGCTACAGGCAAATTTAATAATGTTTAAAAATATTTGTGCAAAATTTGGAATTTCTATGTTAAGTTAAACACATATTTTGGGATTGTGTAAATGATTTTAATGATCATTTTTCATAACAAATCTGAACTTCTCTCACATTACATTTATACAAAACGTTATGTATTTTTTAACATTTAAACAACCATGGGTGAATTTTAAATATTCCAATTTTTGTAATTTTTTGAGGTTAATTTTATAAAAGTCTTTTTGTGAATAATGCATATTTTCTATCCGAATTAAATTTAGTATTTTCCTTTAAAAATATGAACACAAGTCAAATAGTGTCCTTTTGAAGAATTCACTTAAATGTTTAGAAATATTAATATTTAATGTTTGACTTTAAAATTCATTTAAATATAACTAAGCATAGGCGGAAATTTACCAATATTTTAAGGAGGGCTAGAATTACTCACCAGTGCCCCTCTCGAATAAATTCAAAGTTTCATGATACTTATCCAATTTAGATATTACTAAAAGACGAGACTAGTGGTATTTAGTTTGTAGGTGTTGATAATAAATGCAATTCAAAGATAAACTATTCTACAAAATACACAAGTAAAAATAAATTTTAAGTTATAAATAGATTCTTATTGCACGCAAATCTGATAAGGGGTTAAATCCATTAAGACCATTCCGATTTATGCCTTTGACACTAAGATTTGTCTACACCTGTGCATTTCCAAATAGTATCATCCAAAAAGATGATATAATATGAATGAATCTATTTGTGATATTACAAATACAAATACAAGCTCTATTATTGAACTTTTTTATAAATATTTTTTTAATACAGCATTTTGCGAATATGAAAAATTAAATTTAACAGCCTTATTATAGGTGTAAATCGAGAGAGGGTGCAGGAAACTAAGGCCATATTTCCATCAAAAATTTGATATATATATATTTTTACATAATTAACATTAAGGCTAAAGAAAAAACCAAATCCTCCCCGATTTTTGTCATAAATTCAAGCCTTATATATTTTTTGACGATTGAGACAATGGTGTAATTAGATGTTTTATATGATAATTATTTCAATATTTACTATTTTCTAATTAAGAAACTGAGAGATTAATGGTAAATTTCCAAAATATTAGTGAATTTTTTAATTGTTACATGAATAACTAAGTGTCATATATCCTGTGATATTACTAATGATTTTTTAGTAATACGTTTTGTAACATTGGTCACACTGTGTATGATTTTTCGTATCATTTTGTTTCATTCTAATCGATAGAGTTGTTTTACGACAGCTGTGATGAAGATGTAAATATATACCCGGTGTAAAACTATTTAGAAAACTTCTGTGAAATTATATTCTGTTGAATTTTGCCTGTAAGTAACTTATAATATTTACTTAGTTATTTTATCCTTATACTGCCGAGCTTGTAATACAATGCCTTATTCATTTTACATGGCCCTTAATTTTTTCTTATCAATTATATAATGTAATAAATAGATTACTTGCATGTTACTGGTATTTATTGGAATTTATTCCAATAAACATAAAATGTTTTGATAATTGTGAGTTTACATCAATTAATTCTTATTGACGGAGGTTAGTTTAAATACTTTTACAAACATGATTTTTTCTCATTAGATAAATGGTTTTTTTTTTAGTATGAATATATGCAAAATTAGTAGAACAAAATTTAGGTTCCTTTTCCATGTTTATTATAGTATTTTATTTCTATTTAGAAAAAGTTAGTAACAATCAAGTATAAATTATTTAAACTTTCATTACATTTTTTTTTCTTTAAATTAAGCTTATAATATTTTATTTGTGCTCAATATTCTCTAAAATCTATTGCTTTTAGAGGATGGAAAAACTTACATAGTTCAGCGCAACAAAATCAAATTTTGTGATCTATTCATAAAGCATGACATGTTACTGTTTAAATTTGACATGCTTCTCATTTGTTTAATAAGTTCCAATGTAACTTTATAAAATATAATTACAGTACAAATAAAAAATGACTTATATTCATACAATTAGGGCGATTCTTATATTATTCATCATTTCCTTAGCCTTTATTTCAACTATTTGGAGTCAATTTTACTTTTTGATTTGGCAGGTTTTTATATACTGACTGTCAATTTAACACAACCACATTATGAAGGAGCCAGTATAGGGGCAAGGTATATGTCACTCTTAAAGTTCCAATATGATCAGCCATCTGAGAGCTAGTAGATAACTGTATAGCTAAACATCACTGTTAAGGGGGTGACTGATTGATTCACTGTGCTATACCATGTGGTTCTTATATTATTAATTTTTTAATTAATTTCACATTTAGATTTTGTATTTTCATTTCATCTCCTTTAATTTAGTTGAATAGTTTTGTACAGTGAGCAAATACAGCCCATTCTGGTATAAATATTTACTGTATACATCCTTCCATACATAAAATTTTCTAATATTGTGTAATGGGTTAAATTTGGTCATTAATAATAAATTTACACATTTTTTAATTTAACTTGAAAGTATCTAATAAATCAAATATATAAAATGGAAGGTAAATTAGTTAATTTATATTTGATATAAGTCAGATCTCCATTTTATTTTTTGAATTAGAACCTGAAAGTTAAATTTGTATGTTAATACTTACACTTTTAATTTGACGGTTTATAATATTATATTTTATAGTAATTCATGTCATACATCAATGAAGTATTATCTATGAAATACTAATAAGAATCATAAAAATATTGCGTATAGTAGACATTTTTGAGAAAAAATCATAAAATATTTAAATTTTTGTTATATTTTTATAAATGATGTATGTTATATTTATGTTACAACAACCATTTATACAAAAATTTAATTTTTATGTAAATTGTGTAGCAAGATGAGTTTGTAAGCATCACATGAGAAATTTTGTAATGTCTGTAATGGTTTAATTTGTAAAGGTTTATCCCCATATTTTTTAGTCCCTTAAGCCTATAATTGTTGAATTATTGACTAAAATTAATCTAGTTAATCCTTGTGTGGTAAGCAGAAAAGATGCAATCTAGTACTTATCTTTTTTTTTTGAGGTGAGACTCTGTGGTATATATTTATTTTTTCCTAATTAATTATTGAATATTATAGATGATTTAATGTTTTAGACAAAAATTATTTGTTTTATTTATTTACAAATTATGCTCCTACTAAAATATTTATTTAATAAAGTTATTCTTTTCATAATTATTGTACGTTTTAGTTAACACACTAATATATGGTTTTTTCTATAGTCCCCCTACAACCTCACTCTAAATTGGTGCTAACTCGTAGTTTTACTTTGTCATACTTTTTATTAAATTTAAGAAGTTATTAAGTTTTTAATTATTGTAAAATAAAATTGTATTATTATTCACTTTACTCGGAAGCTTTGTTATATACTAGTCATTTTTTTTATACTAAGAAATACTTTTAAAAAGTGGAAATATTTAAAATTAGTTAATACAAGAATGATAAATACATGTTGAGGTGTTCAATTAAAACAATAAAATATTCCCACGCCTTACTCCTTCTAATCATAAAATTAATAATGACTTTGAAAGTTGACCAAGTTGACTAGTATTTCAATAATGGTTTTATCTTAGGTCTAAGATAAAAAAAAAAAAAAATGATTTAAATAAATCTTAAAAGTAATCGTGTAATTCAATTAACTATTGCCACTTAATTAAGCTTTCAGATGGCAATATTCTGTTTTTTGTTCCATGGATATATCAGTATGTTATCATGTTCAATATGTTATCTTAATTTAAAATTTAAGTAGAACCTGGCTACTTTGTGTAAACTAATGTCTCACTTTCAAAGAGTGAGTATATGTTTAGATGTTAAAAAAATCATGATTAATGGGCTGACCCCTACATCGTGAAACTACATCAAGAAATTAAAGGTCTGAATCAAAAATTGTTTGAATGTTAATTAAAGAATTCAACGTTAAAAATGAAAATGAATTAATTTTTGTTTTTATTTATTTTTGTGTTTAACTCACTAGTTGGCTGTATGTGTACAATCCAATACATCAACAAATTTTTGTAAATTTGTAATATTATAAAAAGCTTTTCTAACTTTATGAAAAAGTATCGGATCACTAGGAAAAAAAAATGTTTAATTGTACTATGGCTTGTGTAACTATTTATATATATTTTCTAGTATATGTTTTTATTTATCCTAGTAAATCAACTGTAGTAGTTAACAAACAACTAGACACAAGGTAACATTAATAATATAATTTGCAATGATTTTACTGGTTTATTTTTATTAGTACATATAAAATAAATATTATTTTTTATATTTTAAAAAATATCATTTTTTTTAAGAATTATGGATTAGTTTGACATTTAATTTTGAATTCAATTAAGTTCAGTATTACATTTACACATTTACTCAAATGAAACCATTTATAATTTTTGTGAAATAATTTAATAAAATTGCGATTGCCATAAATTCATTTTTTCTATACTGCTTAAGTCTAATTATAAATTCCACCACACCTACGTCTTTACTTAAATTTGATGAATAATAATTCATAATTATTTATATGAATAAATAACAAATATTGCCTTATAAATAAATTATATACGTTTGTGTGTATTATACAAGTTTACTATTATACTATTAATGTCATATTTTAATGAAAAAACCTGTATATACTATGTACATTTAGGTAAGTATGGTATAACGAGTTAAACCATAACTCGATAGTTCTTTAAGTTAAACCAATGTTAAGTGTAACTTATCCCTTAAATTTTGATTGAAATATAGAATACTACAGTTAGCTTTAATAAGCTAAAACTTAAATCAATTTTGAAATACCCGGCCTAATTGTATCTATAATTTCGGAATTTAAAAGAAATATTTTATCTGGGCTATCAATCACTATCTGCTTAATATGTTAGTCATATAAAGGCCAGTGTTACATTTATCGTTTCATCAATCCATACCTGTATTGTCTCTTCAAATATAAATGATATTATATGTATTATTTTCTTTATAGCATTCATTAACATATTTTTTACGTGAAGTTGATTGATTTGATATGAATTTATTAGCATATTTCTCCAAAAATTATTCAAAAGAAGATTTGTTATTATTTAAAAAGCTGTATATTTGCATTTAAAGTGTCTTGCAAACATCATAATTAAAAGTCGATGTTTCTAATGGACCAGTTATTAGGTCTGAGGGATAGACTTTGTTGATTTTTTTTTCTTTACCTGCCAATATGTTTATCTCGTGTTACATGTTGATCGATGGTATTTTTAACCGAAAGTGTTATCAGATTTTACAAAAAATATATACCCCAATTTCAAGCACAATGCCGCGCAGGTGACAATGAAGTTTGATATTTTGGCATTTTAACAAACATTCGTCAACAAAACAACTAAATACCAACAATAGTTATCGTTTAAAATTACCGCACAGCAGATTTTCGAACGCAGTCTATAGCACTGCACCCTTACTCGGTTATCACCACCTTGATCACATCATAAAATCTATTTTATTATATATAAGATTTATTTTTTATATTATTTTGCTTAGTAAATTGAACCGAAGTAATTTTATTTGTTACAAATTAATTTATAAAGTGGTAATTTTAATTTATGAAAATGATGAAAAATGCACTCATTTATAAAAATTATAAAAAAATTTATATTCTAACTCTATGTAATTATTAACAAATTCCTATCCCTACTTATAACTTATGGCGGTGTTAAATTCATTTTTTTTATGACATTATTTACTAGATTACAAAATATGAAATGATCTAATTAAGAAAGTGACGGTTTGATAACTTTTATTAGATTCTTACTTATTAATATTTTTATACGTGTCGAGAGAAGCATGAACGAGAAATGTCTAATAACATATTTATACTGTGCCTCTCCTCTAGTTTTTATTTTATAATCGTTATAACTTTCGAAATTATGAGTTAATAGTTGTTATAGACTTATCATTTTGCTTAATAGATTATTTTCTTTTTTATAATTCAATGAAATATGTATTTTGCCATTGAGAAGAATTAAGTTAACACCCTTAAAAGTTATAACGGATAATGCCAAAAAGTAATTAGTATCTGATGTATCAAAAAATATACGTAACAAGAAAAAACAATTTTTTTCTTTAATTTTGTATTTATTTTACGAGTAATTGAGTGGTTTATGATAAATGGTATATATGATATTAACTAACATATATATGTTGTAGTTTCAATTTAAATTATCTTTAAATGGGTTACGTCTAAGGGGGTCCTGGACTCAAGTGTTTCGAGTGATTGGAGAAAACGTTAGACAGCGAAATGAATTATAAAATTGAAATGTTCTTTTTGAGCAAAAAATAATTATGAAACATGTTAATCATGATAATCCATGTTATATTTATTATAACATGTATAAATGGATTATTATCCATTTATTCCATGTTTGTTATCATATTTATATTTTACACGAGTCAATTTTTTGAAATTCTCTGGTTAACCCCCAGCGTAAATGCGGATGTAGAGGGGTTTAAACCTGATGATAGATTTAGTGGGGATACTTACAACTTTATAATTTCTTCTTATTATAGTACTACTATTTTGTCCATTATAGTAGGACAAGTTGTGTCAGTAGCAGCAGCACGTGTTACTATCGTTTATGACGCATGCGCTTAGTAGGAGCTATTGATCTTTTACGTAGCGCGCTTTAGCGTTGGTTTCCCTACCATCTGTACTCTACTTTATCATCCTATCATTTTGCGGTCACCATTGTGACGGTGGTTGACCCTCCTTCCTTTTTTTTACAGATGACTATTCCCTTTCTACTGAATTGATAGTAGCCTAAGAGATTTTAAAATAGTTATATAGTAAAAGTGACTGTTTCTCATGACTTTTCATATTTTAATGTTGTTTTACTGTTGAATGCTAAACTTTTTCTATATAATCAGGATTTATAAGAATTGAACTAGTATAGTTAAATAGGGCGCTGAAGAATTTTATAATGAATGATACAAAAAGATGGTTTGTCAGGATTTTTAATATCATTACTTTTAAATAATGTTTTATAATTTATTAATTAAATCCTATGATTGTAAAACAAAGTTCAGTTTAGTATGTAGTTTTATTGTGATGAGACTAAGGTATTCGCCATTCTAGTTCAATTATTTAAGTTTATGATTAACATTTGACATGCAGTACACCCGTATTCAATTGAAATCTATCAATGTTTTTTATTGGTAGTCTTAGGTTGTTGACTTACATATAACTGTTGAAAAATCTATATTTACTAATATATTGAGTCTTTGAGTTCTAATCATTAAAAACTAAATATATCTACTAGCAAAATGTAACATTGTTCACGTTACAGCTCTACATATGTTATTTTTATTGATTAAATATTGCCAAAAGAAAATTTTGCTTACCTTATTAAAGTCTAGAAATATATTAATTTTGTTCTAGACCAACTCAGCTTAATTTCAAAATACAATACTGATTGTTGATTATAAGTTGATCTAGTTTTCTTAAACAAAAGAACATTTATTTTTAACGGCTCTCTTGAAAATTGATAAAATGCATTTAAAAAAAGTATTGTGTCAAATTTAATCAATAGCAAATTAAAACAAAAAAATATTTTTCTGCTTCGATTTTAAATTTTAGCTTTGATGCGAAGCTGAGAAGGTATTAATTTTACCATGATTTGTTTATTTTATTATTTTTTTTTTGTGTCTGAACGCACAATCATAGCCCTCGCTGGACCTATTTTGATAAACAATACGTCAAAAGATCACAAATCGTATCTAGTTGAAGACATTACCCTCAAAAATTAAAAATTTTTCCCCCGTTCCCCGTAAATGGTGAATATCTCCCAAAAAATTACAATTTTTAAAATTGATAAATTTTGACATCTTTTTCACTTTTTTTTCTAAAAATTGCCATAACCTATTGAAAAATGAATTAATTAAAATAATTTTTTTTATATTGAAACCTTAGATATTTCCCTTTCATTTGATATAAATTTTTTGATAATCCGACCCTTTGTCTACCAACATAAAGGGAGTCTAAATAGAAACTTTTTTACAAAAGTCAACTTATTCAACTTAACTTTTGAAAATGTTCCGGAAATACTGCGTCCTTTAAACATACATTGTATGTAAATTTAGCCGTAGTTAAAAAACATACTATATTTGTGTTCAATTTTTAGCTTCGATGCGAAGCTGAGAAGGTATTGGTTTTACTAAGATGTGTTTATATTTTTTTTTTTTTGTGTCTGTTACCACTTTTTCTCAGCTCTCACCGAACCAATTTCTTTCAATGATACGTCAAAAGATCACAAATTGTATCTAGTCGAAGACATTACCCTCAAAAATTTAAAAAAATGCCCTCGTTCCCCGTAAATGGGGGAAACCTCCAAAAAAATAACAAATTTAAAAATCGCTAATTTTCGAAATTTTTTCAATTTTTTTTACTTAAAAGTGCCATAACTTTTTCAAAAATGAACATATCAATATAATTCTTTTTTATATAGATGTGTAATATCATTACCTTTCGTTTGGTATATTTTTTTCATAAATTTAACCCTTAACCTGCCCACAAGGGGGGATTTAAAATGACAACTTTTTCAAAAAAAATTAACTTTTTCAACTTAACTTTTGAAAATGTTCCGGAAGGTCTGACACTTTTATATATATCTTAAATTAAAGCTAATGTAATATTCTTTATTATGCAAAAAAAAAATTTCGGACTTTATTTTATCTTCACAGTGAAAATGGCTACCGAATGCTATTTTTGTGTGAAAATTTTCGATTTTATATTTTACATTTTTAACTTTATTATGCTATAACTTTTTGAAAAATGTATGGATCAGTACAATTTTTTCATGAGGAGTAGTATTTATATACATCTTTCATTTGACATACTGTTTTTTTTAAATCCGACCATTTCCCTATATACGAGGGGGGTTCAAATCTAAAAAATGCATGTAGAAAGTAGAACTTTTTCAACTTAAATATTGAAAGTGTTCCGGAAAGTCTAACACTTTTATATATATCTTAAATTAAAGCTAATGTAATATACTTTATTATGCAAAAAAAAAAATTTCGGACTTTATTTTGTCTTCATGGTGAAAATGGCTACCGAATGCTATTATTGTGTGAAAATTCTCGATTTTTATTTATTTATTTTAAAATACTTAACTAATACTTAAGGGATTGTCATAGTAATGAATCCATCAACTTTTATAAAATTTGCATGAATCTAACCTAGATTAAATATAAATTTAAACTTGTTTTGATTATTTTATCTACTCAAAATTAAGAAAAACGACTTTGAATTTTTGAACTAGCTTAAATAATTCTTTTTATAAAAATTATTTATGGCGATCACAGTGGTTGCGTTATTAACTATACAGTCATATAAGTTCGGAGTACAAAGTTCGAACCCCTCCAGCCAAAATAATTTTTTTTCATTTTTTTTTTTTGAGGTGAAAAACAAAATTTAACACGAAAAATTGAATAATAAAAGTATATTTTTGACCCTGATGAAATTTATTTGTAGTACATTAATTTCTAATTAACCACAAATTATTTTCTGAACATTTTTGTATCAAGCCCTTCAATTTTTATACACGTTTGCCATAAAAGTAATATCTACTTTATAATTTTTTATAAATTCTCCGAAAAAATTACTGTATTAAATTATTAATATCAATCTCAAACTAATTTAATTGCTATAGTAAATATTTATTCATATATTATATTTCTAAATCGAAAAACTACTAATCAGGAATAATGAAGGAAATAGGAGTTAATTTTGCTTTTGGAATAATCCACCAATTTATTAAAATTAAACACTACCTACAGATATGCATCGAAGCGTTCTTATGATAGTGATTTTAATCACTGTCAGATATCATCTATACTTGTCCCAACTATGTCGCGACTCCATTGTGCTACCGTTTTATTCTTCTCTCATATGCTAAATTTTCAGTTGACACGATTTCCCATATCATATACACACACACACACACACCAGTTGTGTGTGTATAGATATACCCAATCCAACCACCTATTTTTCGGTGTTCCTCTTCTTCATTCAATGTTGATTTCCATAATCGTTCATACAGCTTCCAATTTCTTTTCTCCTAATATGATCATTTAAGTCAATTTTCTGTCATCTTATACACAATCATCACTACTCCTATGTTTTTCTTTACATATTTATTCCTTATCCTATCTCTTCCACTTATCCATCTAAGCGTTCTCATCTCTGCTCTACATTCTTGTCAACTGCTAAGCACTCTTACTTATACAACATGATTCGATCTTAAATAAATTTAACGTCTTTTTGATATCAAAGTCATAGTATTTAGATGAATTATCTTCTTGAATTCGGACAATGTGTATACACGTAGATATCATTAAGCCCGGTGCTAGAAATCGCAGAGTACATAATACTTTATTATTGTAAAAAGAGAACCTTTTTTTTATATAAACTGAGTTTGCTGGTTCCTTTAAAGCTCGAGGCTTAGGGCTCATCTCGCTTACTTCTAGTGCCGGCCCTGAATACTATATTATTGTAGTATAATAGTCAGGATCAGGCAAGTAGAGCATACGGCCAGGGACTCGCACGAAAAATTTTTATGTAATAAGGTCTTATTGTCGTAAGTTAAAACTGAGCCTAATATTCATAATTTGTAAAGGGCTCCACAAATCATAGCGTCGATTCTGTAGATAGTATAATACATTTATGATAAATTATATTATGTTATTAAAATGACTTTAGTAATATTTTTACTGTATTATTAGTGTATTTTACTAAAAAAAATTGTTTGCATGGATGAATTTAGTGCAAATAGATAACATTTAATTGAAAAGTTGTGTTTAATATTAAGTAATTATTTTGACATGATTATACTTATAAAATAAAAAATAATTATTTTAGAATTATTACATTATAACGTATGATATTTGTTGTTTCAGATGCACGCGGTCACTGTTGAGAACGGCGAGGAGCGCCGCCATTGCAGTTACCATAAGATGACCATGCGCCGGTCGGGCTGCTACCGTTGTTTCAGATTCGCATTGCGTCAGTGGTGCTGAGCCGCGGGCTGCCGACGACTACAGTTCCACCGCAACGTTTTAATCACTCCGTTCGGGCACGCACATATATATTTCCGTTTTTTTCTTTTTGTTCGTCCCTTCTAAAACGGTGGAATTTGAGTGAATTTCTATATCTATTATTTTTATATTTTTGCATTCAAATCGTTGTGAAATGTTAAAATTACTTTAAAATACTTTAATGTAATTAATATCTGTATTTGTAATTTTTCTTTATTTTTATCGACTCGATGTAATCGGCCCCATGTCCCGTGCTCAACTGATTCATGTCGCTTAAACGTTGGTTGGGCGCGACAATGACGAATACTGCAATAGTCATTTATGTGACCGCTTTATTAATTACAATTATCGGATGGCTGCCCTCATCTGAAGCAGGATGGCAAGACAACGTCAGGCCCAAAATATCTGCTATCCGAAGTGAGTTTTTTTCAACTAACTAGTTTTTATATTTATGGAGTTCAATTTATAACTAGTTCGGCGTTATTTTTATGATACTGTAACCCTATTGGCCAGATGTAATTTCTGAAAATGTGCCAGACGAGTGGTAACAGACATTGGGGGTTTCTTTCATACACAATAATCACTACTGTGTTGTTTTATAAAACAGGGCTTCTTCCAACAACTGATAATTGAGAACTTTCCACAGTATTAATATTTTAAGTTATTTTAGACCATTTAAAATTTGTATTGTTTAAATATATATGATTTTTATAAATTTACTATAAAACTTTGGCAAAGAAGTTGACATAATAAACTTGGTCAATATATTATTCTGATCAATTAATTAGGAAATCATCTAATGTTATTTTTTATATTAAACTTTACTGAGTTTTTAAATAATTAATTATCTAATTTGGTTGTAATAAGTTGATGTTGGTATTTTTTATAACAAAGAAAATATCTAAATTTAATTTTAACTCAATATCATAGTTTTTTATTTATTATTAACATTTTGAATCAATTTTTAACATAAAATTGAAAGTTAAAATTCTTGTTAGTTAATTTTAAATATTTTTTACATTATTACTTTAAATATTTTTCCAGAGTACAAATGTTTTTTAGCTTAATGAATTTAACTTCAAAATATAAATCAATATAGAACTTTAAAAGATGAAAATCTCAACTGCTCATTTACTGGTCACTCTCGTATTGTACATTAAATGCGTGTTAAAAAAATTATTATACATTAGCTTTATTCTTACAAGACTTTTTATATTTTTCTCATGACTGTTACTGGTTTATTAATTATTTCCTGTTAAAAACGTAACGCTTCGTCATTTAAATAACTGTTGATTATTCTTCCTACAAATGCTTAGCATTGGGACATCACGTGATCAAAATTATCGGGGGACTTCACTACCTAGATAGGATATGTAACAATATGTAGATGTTATGCTTAAAATACAACAGTGATGTAAGTTTAATTTACACAGCTCTGATTATTTTAACGCTTAGTATATTTAAGGTTCATTATTGGCCTTAAATAAAAATTCGCCTATTGTTTTTACTATTTTAGTAAATGGTAATTAAATTAATTATTAATTAATTTAATAATTAATTATTCTAGTTTAATAATCTAAACATTTATAACTCATAGTGTTAGGATAATTTAAAATTATCAAATTCAAATTCCCCATAGAAAATAAAGTAAGAGAATAAGTTGTTTTTGCAACTAGTAGTACTTCCAAAGTTCGTTTCCTTTAATGTTTACAGTTTTGTATCTATATGCTTTCTACATTGATGTAATGTGTCGAATTTATAATAATTATTATATGAATCATTTTTAAATTTCAATTTAGAAAATAATTAAGCGTAAACTAAAAATACATCGTTATAATAATGTTCATTTACTTATAGAAAAATATCCTTTGTTATTTATAAACTACATTTCATTTCGCAATAATTCTTAATTTTTATTACTTTGTTATTTCTAGTTATTAACTATTATTATTTTTAGTTATTTTGTTTTGTTTTTTTAAAACAATAAGAATAAAATTCAAACCATAAAATATACTTAATTTCGTTTGAATTTTTTGACCTTTGTTTTGCTATACTTGTACAAATTAAAAATTTTAACTTTTAATATAAAATGTATACTTTTTTATGTGCTTTAATCAATTAAAATAAAATAATTTCGCAATTAAATATTATGTAGAAAATGATGATTTTTAGTTACATTTAAATAGATTATATTGAATACTAGTATATTGATACTTTAAGTTTTTTCTAATAATATTCGATAGTAATGTCGGATATCGAAATCTAAGGGTATTTTTAATAGTTATGTTAATTTTAATTACAAGTAGTATAATTTTGATTTAGAAATACAAGGATTTTTAAAAAAGAAAGCAATTTTTATAAATGAAGTATCAAAAGTCCTCTATACGTTATAGGCTATAAACACTTTTATTAAATATGTGTGAAATTTATATTTATTAATTTTTTTATGGAGACATAGTATTTTCTGATTTCTAACTAAGATTCGTCATTAGTCATTCGACACAGATCGTCATCTTCGTTTGTATTATAATAATTAAAACTTCAATTCGTCTTGTTGAATTATTCAATAGACTTATAATATTAATTAACATCTTAACAATTTACTTAGTGTGATCTATTTTCGATCTTGTGGTGATTGAAAAGTTGATTTTGTAGAGGTCATCGTTTTAATATGCAAAAGAAACAAGTGATGTATTATGGAGTATAATGTAGAATTTAGTCGGAGTATTTTTAATATGCCAAGTAGTTTAACTGTACGTTTATTTAAACAGCCTTTTTTCTTTCCTTTTTGAATAAACATTAATTATGAGATGAAAAAATGTGAGACGTAATTAAAAAAAAAATGATAAAAAACTGTCGTCGGGTTTCAAGGATGTCGCTAATTACTAATGTACTTTTGGATGAGGTAAAAAGCATTAGAGATAATAATTAAACGTCAAAGTATACCATTTGTAAAAAAAGTAATACCTTACGCCCTATTTCACTGTTATATATTTAATTGAAAATTTTACAGTTCCTAATTTTATGTAGGCATATTGTTAATTATGGTACACAATAGGTAATAGTTTACCGTTCTTGGCCACGATGGGATTTGTCACCGAGGGGGAAAATCAATTTCGTTACATGACTTCTTAAAGTATTTTATATTCAATAGGGGTGAGATGTGTGTGAATGTGCATTTTGAAAGGTTGTCGAAATGGCCACTTAGGGATGAACATGCCTGGTGTTGTTAGCCGTTAGAAGGGCGGTATTTGAGTAAGAGAGAAAATAGGAAGGAACAAATGAACTTTTTGTCATTATTCGTTTGAAAACCTCTTTGGTATACTAATAATACTAGTTTGCATAAATTTACATGTTTTATCGATTGGATTTCATTTGCTGAAAAGCATTTTGCATCCTCTCTATTTTTATACCTATGTAATTAGTGTTGTATGTAAAAAATATTAGTTTTTATTCAAAGTTGAGGAGGTATTAATTAGACTGTTTTTATTATTGTATCTGTTACTGTAAGTTCTCAGTTCCTATTAGACTGATATTTTTGGATGATACGTCAAAAGATCAAAAATTGTATCTAGTAAAAACATTCCCTCAGATAAGTCTTCCTTGTTAATTGTAAATAGGTCAAATTCATCAAAAAATTACGACTTTTGAAATCAATAAATTTTGACATTTGTAAAACTTTTCTTAAAACTGTCATTAATTTTTGAAAAAAAGTAGTTTAATAAAATAAAAAAATCTAAAAATACCTTAGCTGTTTTCCTTTTTTTGGCATATATTATTTGAAAATCTGAACCATTGCCTGCCCACAATGAAAGATTCAAAATAGCAACTGCATGAAAATTTACTATAATATTGGACTATTGAAATTGTCCGGGAAAATCTGACACCTTCATATATATCATAAATTAAAATTTTATGAGTATTTAAGGATAGCTTCTTTTATTCGGCAATCTATTCCATTTACACAGATTGTTCAAAACTTGAAACATATATATAAAAAGTAGTATTTAGGAAATTGTGTAGAAATAATGTATATAATTATTTTTAAATATTTTAGGATAGGGATAAAATAACTTTTAACCCTTATGGATTTAGTTTATTAATTAAACTTAGTAGATCTTTTATTAGTCTAAATTTGTATACAAATGCCCTTTTAAACAAAACTACAGAAAATAACATTTTATTAATGTAACTAGAAAATATATGTACATTACCATATTGTAATTAGTTTAGTGACATACCAAAGAACAGATCTTCCGCTATATTTAATTTAATTTTTGCGTAGTCATCATCTTGACCTTTTTCAATCATTTCCAAATTATTTATAACTTGAATATTATATATATATATAAATATATTAAGATGTTCCATTTTTGTATTATTAAATTAATTTGGGAACGTTATAAATACACCAAAGTTAAACGTTTTCATAAGAAAATGAATGATAACAGTAATTAGTATACTAAAATCATGATTAGTATGGTAGATACCCACTCTAAAAAGTTCATCTAAAACTTTAATACACTAATAAATATTTTTTGGCATACCAACATTCAAAATACGATTTTTTAGTTTCACATTAATAGTTACACTAAAACGTCGTGTTTAAGTATACTAAACAGATTAGTACACCAATATAAAATTCAAAAATAGACCCCCTGATTATATTATTTTTATTTTTAAGGGTGCAAATTTTTTCGATTCATTAATAAAGATTTTGTTAAATTTATATAACTAGAATTTAAGTTTGCACAGTTAGTACTATATTTATATTTATATTTTTTTTTGGTAGTTTCAATTAAAATTATTTTCTCATTTATTCATTTTTTTTAAATTATTAGGTTAAATATAAGATGATCCGTTAAAGATAAATCATTAAGTTTTTTGGTAACTATTTAAAATTTTTAATTTTTCTAAAGGGAAAAATTTTTTGATTTAATAAAACTTTTGTTGATAATTATTAGGCTGTATAAATAGTATGAAAAAAAGGTCACTCAGATTTTTTTATTTATATTTTCTTAGTTTTACAAAATTATTTGATTAAAAATTATTTTTAGATAATATAATAATAGTTTGTGAATATTTTACCTTTTAAACTACTTATTAATTTATTTATAAATATTGATTCAAATTATATATAAGCAGATACATTTATTAGAATCTTATAAAAATCATAAAACATTCGGTAAATTCTGCTATAGTTTAAAAAGAAAAGTTAAATTTTAGTGATTAAATTCTTTGAGAAATTTAATACGCTATAAATACAATTTATGATCTAATCATAAATCAAATAACTTAATATAGAACTAAATATTATCTATTATTTTAATAATTTAGGAAATCAAAATAAATGTAAATTAAAAAATTCTAATTTTCAAAAATTTGCAGTTTTATCATTTGCCAATTTATGTTTCTAT